CATAAGATCTCGCGAGTGGAATTCTTCCTGGATTTCGTACTTTCGCACAAGACAGAGAGAGAGAGAGACATTATCAATTTGAAACAGGTGTAAAACACATCTCAAAGACACGCCATGTCAATATGCTAGCGACACTGATTTGTCTGCATTTAATACTCACAGGGTTGCCCATTGAAATTGCAAGCTTCACGCTGAAAATTCACATTTCACCAAATACCTGTCGAATGACCCTCTGTGGAGTTGTCTGCACGTGAAGACAATTATGTAATTTCATAGTGGCACAATGATGAATTATCCACTTTCACGATGAGCATCTTCAGTACTCAATTCTATGGCGAAGATGACTTCCTCTTAATCAAAACAGCAATCAAACGTTGCGCCCAGACAATTGGGAGGAAGTTCACGGTGGCTTCTTGTCGAAAAAAAGAGCCTCCCATTGAGATTATTATGCTGTGCTGAGAGTTTATCTCTAAAGAGGCATTATGATACATCGCAATTTCCATCAACACAATGCGCGACCGCCCAATTTGCCACGCGCCCATTGAATGTGATTGTTTCTGAGCCGCCAGAGATCATCGCTAAATATTGCAGCATTTTCTTAATCACTCGCGATCAATCCTCTCTGTCTTAATTATTGCGCAAAGCGAGAGCATCTGTTGAGAATCTGTCCTGAATTACACGGATGGTCATTGTGAAAGAAGTTCACATTGAATCGATTTTTAATAGCTCTTCATGATATTGCAAAATGCTGGGCAAAAACACACACGCCAACATTCCACCCAGAGACCAACAGAATTCTATGAAATTGTAGTTAAAAGAGAAGCACAAAAACCATCGTCTTCCGCTTTCATATTTCACTTTCATTCGATGATACGGAAACTCCAATGTGAACTCGTAGGAAGAGACTGATGGCGAACATCGCGCTTGAGTGTATCAAATTGCCCGAAAAATTGCACAGGCGAATACTCTGCATTTCAAATAGGCTCGTTCGCTGGTCATTGAGCCATGCTAGTGCGATTGTTTCAAGAAAGAGAGGTTCACATGCGCGAAGAGCGCCCAAAGTGAAGGGTCTCTCAGTTTTCCGCTCTTGTGAGCATCGCGCGCTTTCGCAATGTCACACAGCCTCCATAAACGCACCCAAGGCGCCCCGAATAGCTGTTTAAGTAATGCAATTACTCGTTACTTTGCAGATTGCTCTGGTTTTATTGGCGGCCGGAGTGTTGGAAGCCAAGCGCACGGACAAGAATGTCAAGAAGGCCTTCTCGGCGAAGCCCACGAAAACACCCAAATCCGTTGTCGATCAGTTCGCCGGACTGCCGGAGGAGGACGTGAAGTTCATCAAGGAGCTGGACAAGCAGTTCAAGCTGCACGGTGACAAGATCAAGATCAGGATCGAGAGGGACAACAGCTCAGCGCAGACTGGCAAGAACTCCAAGCGAGGTCTCGACGGAGAAATAGGGTAAGTGAGAGAGACTTTTTGGCCCACAGCAATTCACATAACACAATCATTCCAGTTCAGGTCATTTCGTAGCAGCCAATTAACTTAATAGACATGTCTCTAACTGGGTTCACCAGCAACCTTGCTCCCATCATCGCTCATGCATTTCAATTAGACATCGCGATGTCTCAGAGCCATGCAATCATTTCCGAACGCCGCACACTTTTCCAATTTATCCATCCACTTATGCAAGAAATCTGTTTTGGCAAAAATTTTCCGCAACTTATCTGCAATTGATAGCAGAGAGAGAGATTCCCCCTTAAGCATCCATCGGTTTTTTGGCAAATTATACGAAGATTTCTGAAGACGTGCGCACAAATTGAAATTCATAAGTGATATTTCACTTTCATCTCATAATGATGCACGTTTAGTGATTAAATTAACACAAGAAGTGGCTATTTTCAGCTGGTAAAATTGCTTCATTGAACGGAAGTTGAGGAAATGATATTGATTTGAAATATTTATGTAGGAAAGTTGCGTCTGCTGATTTTCATGCGTTTATACTTTTAATTAATGATCATTACATGTCAATTTCTCTCTCTCCCTCTCACATATCACAGCTATGGTTATCACCGGAATCACAGGCCGCAGTCGAATTTCTACTTCTCCAAGCCAAAGCTGGAGTTCTATCCTTACTCGCAGGAGGATATTCCGCCACTGCCGCACGTGGCTCAGCAGCAGTTGCATCAGCAGCAACTGCAGCAGCAGCTGCATCACAGGAACAGGCAGCGACTGAACTTCCACGCCAGGCCGCACTACACGCACGTGGAGATCCAGCCCTCACCTGGCTATGAAATCAAGGAGACCACCTTCGACCATCCGCCGCCGCCACCGCAACCCTACCACGCCGACTACCAGCAGTACCAGCAGCAAGACGTCTACCAAGCCGAGCCCGTGATTGTGCTGAAAATTCCCGGGCCGCAGAAGTACGCTGCCCACCTGAAGGTCCTGCTGCAACAATACATCGAACTGAGAGCGGCGCAGTACCTGCAAGAGCTGCAGCAGCAAGAGGAAGCCAGCCAGCACGGGAATGTCGTCCAGGAGACGTACGTCGAGGAGCACGTTCCAGAGACTAATGGTCACACACTTGCCACAGCCCAGACAGGAACACCACACGATGTCTACGGACCTCCTCAGCATCAGGCTCACGAGGCCGGAGGATATGGTAATACTCCTCAACCACAACTCATACTAATATAAGCAATCATAATAAATGTTCTAATACTGAAATTCCTCTTACAGTGCAACACGAGCATCAGGACGTGCCAGTGTCTGATGAGATGACAGTTTATGAGGAACCGCAGCAAGGACAGGCGGTCTATGAGACCCATGAAGTGCACTATGCACCCCAACAGGCGGTCTTCATCAATCAGAATCTGTACCAAGAAGAGGCGAGATCCGCCTATCAAGCGCCCCCTTATCTCCCGGCTCCTGACCAGCCCGCCGAGCAGCAGCAGTACTACTATCAGCAGCCAGAGCAGCATCAGCACCATCACGGCGATGAGGATCTGCCCACGTCGGAGAACTACCCCAGCGAGCACCACACGCGGGTGATCTTCACGAAGGAGCTGCACCAGAGTGCCACGCCCTCGACGCACGTCGAGTACCAGCAAGAGTATCACACCCCAGCCGAAGTCCACTCCACCGCGACTCCTGCTGCCTTCCGCGCCCAGGAATACTACCAACCGCACGAGATGGAGGTGGACGATGTGGTGGCGATCACGCAGAAGCCGTACAACTATCACGCACACGTGAGCTCCAGCACGACGCTGGGTCCGTCCAAGAGTGCCAAGCGGGACGCGCCGCCGTACACGGAGGAACAGTTCAAGAAGCTCAGCAAGCTCGTGCACAAGCTGAAGAGGAAGCAGGAGCAATGAGCGTGTTAACGTAGAAGAGTCTCTCTAAGCATTTATTTATTTTCTCACCCCCTTAGGACAATGCTATTTTGTAAGGATGTACCGAATAAAGACCCATTTTGTACAGACAGGAAAGTAAAAGCTGCACTTTTTCTTCTGCTTCTCACTTGATGGTGCGAAGAACCTGAGAGTGAGAGAAAGAAAAACCCCTGTCAATCATGCTCAGTGACCAGCGATTTTTCCTCTGTGGGTGCGAAAGAAAAGCCGTTTCATCTGAATAAATTCCAAACACACTCTGTGTGTATTTTTCTCTTCTCCTCAGCATTTTTATGAGATGAAAACAACACAGCTTTTCACTTTCGATCTTCGTGACTTGACTTTACGCGTTGATGATGGAAAATCATCAAGAAATTGCGATACGCTCTGACAGATCCGACAGATCTCAATGGCCAGGAGCTTTTCAGGGTTAATGTGGACAGTTTAGAGATCAGTTGATGGGAAATTTCTTCTTTCACTCGCGCGGTCAAGTTTATAACTGTCTTTTCTCAAATTGTTTCATTACGGCAAATTAATAGCCAATTTGCGCATACATTTTGTAATTCTACTCAAAACTTATATATATTTGAGAAAAAGAAAGCAAATCTATATATTCGTTATCGTTTATAATAAAAATAAAGTCAATCACGTGTATAGAAATATTCGAGTGTTTTTCTTTTTAACACCGCCTCGGAATTTTCTTCATTGAATTGGAAACAAGAAGAATTTGGGGGAAATTTTCCTGCCTTTTGTCGTAACTTTCCTCTGTTGCATCGTGTGTGTGTTGTTTTATGTAAAATTTGCATGATCATCATGCCCGAATTTGTTATGGAGCAAATGTAAAAGAGATCTGTTATCGCGAATACTTGGCGCATCATCACTTTCTTATGAGAAAATCCAGAGCTCAATTGGCATGCGAAAGTGGAGGAGTTATTTTATACACACAATTTTAGCAAATAAGTATTTGTGTGTAACTAAAGCAAATTTGAAATGGTAAAAATCCCCCACAACAGACCTTGTTGTGCCTCGAGACGAAGACGAATAGTGCGATATGGTTTTGTGATTTTCCTTCGTTCATGACTCTGTGGCAAAACGTTATAAAAGCACCAGATAATATCTATTTTCATTCAATTGATGTTCAGACCTTGCACCGAAATGACCAAATACAAATTCCTGCTCCCACTGCTTGTAAGTGTTTGTGATTAATCTGTGACTCGGAGGATTTGTACGCTTTCCTTGGATTCATATATGCATTTTTGTGAACTTGTGATGGAGATTCTGTGCTGTGCTAAAATAGGATTATTGTGCTTTTCTCGCCCCCAAAACAGATTCTTTTCGCTGTGGAAGCGACCTCACAGAAACAAATCAGCCACCGTCGTCCAATTTTGGATTACAAAAGCGAGTACGACAATGGAGATCTTGTGGCTCAGTCAAGCACCACCACGGTGAGGTGGCTCCCACCACCTGGCAAAGCAGTGACTCAGACTTACCTCAGACCCTATCGTGAATCAGGTACTTTTCCTACATCCTTCCGCCGATCAGTAGCACCAATTTTATTGTCAACTCTCCTCTGTGCAGATAATGTCTACCAGGCGACAAGCACGCAGACGATGACGTCTCACAGCCCGAAAGCCTCGACGAAGATCAAGAAGGCGACCAAGAGCAGCGCCGCCGCCATCGAGATGTCCGACGCACTGGCCAACACGGAGACCGCGGCCGAGTACGTGAACACGGCCATCAAGATGTGGAACGGCCCGAAGCCCGTGATGATGACCGCCGAGGCGAGCAAGAAGTCCCAGATGAAGTACGACGTGTTCGATCCCAAACAGGCGGCTGAACTCCTGCACATGCACCAGTTCGATCCGCAGATGTACCAAGTGCCGCAATCCGTGCAGTCCATGCAGATCCCCACGCACTACGTGGCGCCCACGCAGTACGTCCTGGAGCCGGCGTACGAGGAGCAGGAGCAGGTGCCTCAGCAGTACCACCCGACCACGCTGCCACCGCAGCATATCGTCACAGTGCAGCCAGTGGTGCAGAAGAAACCCATCGAGTTGGTCGAAGTGGAGGCCCCAACGCAGGCTCCACGCTACGCCCGACCCACTATCCGGAAGCCCTCGAAACCCGTCAAGCAGAAAATCATTTCCCAAGACAGCAACTACGAGGTGTACCAGAACGTCGTGACCGTCACGAAGCCCGAACCCTTCGAATTACCAACGTCAAAGGCACCCGTCCAGAAGGAGATCGCTGCCGAGTCTCAGCGAACTCCGATCAGGAATCCCACGACGTACACTGTTGAGCAGGGCGGAGAGACTCACATCCACCACCACTACGCTCCAGTGCATCATCAGCAGTACGAGGAGGAGACTGTGGAGATTGCGCAGGAGATCCCGACGCACAGGCCGAAGTATGTGGTTCCCAGGGCGCGCACGAAGCCAACCACGCACACTTTCCAGGTGCAGCACCATCAGGCTGCCACTGAGGAGCACCACGAGCACACCACCCCGCCCTACAGACCCTCGTCGTCCTTCCAGCAAACGCTGAAGGCCACCAGCCGTCCACTGACACACCATCACCATCACCACCCCTCCCTGACCTCTGAGGTGGAGAAGGATCTCGCGTCGCAGAGCTATCAGATCGAGATCCCGCGCGATGAGCTGATCAAACACATCGAGGACTCGGTCAACAAGTACCTCAAGAACCTGAATCTGGAGGAGAAGCTGGTCAAGGAGCGCCCCAGGCCGTCCTACGTCCCGAGATCGCAGCAGCACGTCATGATCGTCTCCACAACACCTCCACCTCCGCCACCCCCACCAACAACCACCCCTGTGTCCACCACCACACGACCCGTGCGTATTCCCAAGAGGCGCCGGCCAGTGATGGTGCAGCAATCTCAGCCGCAGGCAGAAGTGGGCCACGAGCATCAGGAGCAGCACATCATTGTGTCCAACGACGAATACCTTCCGCCCTCCTTCGTCGTGCACCAGAGCCACCCCAATCAAGTTCAGCACCATCCAGAGCCCATCGTAGTCACGCAGCCCACGAAAGTCTACGCCTACGAGGAGGTTCAGGAGCCCTCGCCCGACCAAGTCTACCGTCAGCCGAAGATCGTGCATCAGGAGCAGTACCAGGCGCAATATCCCCCGACCAATGAGCTGGCCAGAGAGTCTGTGGTGCAGAATGTAGATTTGACGGACCAGAACAGCAAATCCCGGCCCACGCACATTGATCTCAGCGCTCTGGACGTGGGTCAGTCCTGGTCGCACGGCAACACTTTCGACCACTCTGCCGTGCTGAAGAACTTGCAGGGCTTCGACCAGAGCAATGCCGTTCTGCAGCCTATCCCGCATCCCAAGCTCCACTTCAACTCGCAGACCTATCACGACATCAACGCCCTGCCTTACAACCCCAACAGGGACTTTGTGTCGACAGTGGAGCCTGCCGTGGCTGCGTCGGCCATGCAGCCAACGGACGACGCCACGTTCTTCAAAAAGCAATCCTTCGGCCCTATGCCACACAACACGGTGAACATGAACGAGGGCACGGCGTCCGTGGGCGCATCCATCAGCGTGGGCGGCGAGCAGAGCGTGCCCGGCCTGAGGGATGAGCAGGTGAAGTCCATCACGGATGAACTGGGCCCGGTGCACATCATCAACGGCCTGCCCGTGGTCAATCCCTACAACATCGATCTGCACACCCTCAAGTTCATGCTGGGCTCACCCATGGCGCCCGGCAACACCAACGTTCCCCAGCAGCAGCAGCAGGGCCCCGCCTCGGTGTCGGAAGTGCCGCCGCCGGTTGCCAACCAGAAGCCGCGTAAGAACATCCAGTACACACGCGAGAACGGCTGGACGAACTCCGTGCGCGCACCCTCGGGCTCCGGCAGCGCCGTGCAGTACAAATACACAGGGAACGAACTGCCCGCGGACAGCTACAGCCCCAAATACAACAACAACCCCAAGGGTGAGGGCTTCCAGGGCGGCGCGGCGGGCTCCAAAGTGCACAATGCGCACCAGAACGGCTCGCAGTTCGAGCTGGTGCCGAAGGGGCGCGTGAAGGTGGTGGAGCAGAAGAGGGTGGTGAAGCGGCCGCAGGCCAAGGGCCGAGAGCCCGACACAGAGCTGAAGCCGCCGCCGCGATTTCCCAAATACAACTAAGTTCTTAGGCGCTTAAGAGACTCCTCCGGGGCTGCACTTAATTTATAACATCACCTCACTGGGTCCCTCTCCTCTCGCCCCGAAGACAGGACTGCTCTGCACATGCGAGCTGAAATTCCAGCGGCCGCGCAATTATTGAGTGTACATAGTAGAAAAAAATGCTGCAAGTTAATTTAGCATGACGTGCGTGAGATAGGGAAAATACTGATTATTTGTAAATACCAATTGTAATTGTGATAATTATTAATTTTTGTTAAATAAATAAGCTGAGCGGAGATTTCACATATATATCAGAAGCGTTTTGGACCAACCACTCTCTCTCCACACCACTTTCGGAGGTGTGAAAGCCTTTTGTGCTCGTGCGCGCGCAATTGTGATCCTCCGATTGAGCGCGCACAATTTATGCTGCACATTCGAAATGAGCCTTGCATGGGCTCTTGTTCAAATGCACCCACGAGACTCGGCGAGATAACACAATTGCTCGAGAAAGCATAAAAATGAAAGTAACCCAGCTCAGATCGCCACGAAATTTGATCACAAGAGATGCGCCAATGTTCTGCTGGTCGAAAAAAAGTCACCCCGGCGGGAAATTCCACGTGCCAGAGAAAGTAAAAGGCCATTAATTATTCAATCAATCACAGCGAAATTTTATGCCACAAAATCGCTATGCAAAATTATTCTGCATTTTATTATTGATTGGCATCTAATCAAATTTGCTGTGTGAGTCACTCAAGGTGTCTTCATTCATCAGTCTTCTGATATTTCAGCTGCGGAATTTGTTCAACCGCGTATTTCTAAGAAGTTTGTCGATAACAAGATGAAACGCTTTATAAAATCTTATATAGCATCTTTATAAAGATGCAATCATTGCAAGAATTCATTTTTGGAGCTGATTTTCCAACAAAAATATATAAGAAAACTTCAAAAACTTTTCGCTGTGAGCGCTAGAATTGCTTCCAATTGTGCTCTTCTCAGCAATGCCCAGCAGTGCTTTTCTCAGCAATTATTGTATCACTTCAATATCATAAACATTATATTGTGCAAAACATCGTGAAAGACATTTTTTAACTTATTTCATGACTCTTTTGCATTTTTCCGCCACATTCGAGTATCAATTTCTTAAGCACCATATTAAATATCATAATAAAACTGTGTGATATTATAATAAGCTCTCTTAGCAGCAATAATATCTCGAAATCACTCCATCAGATGTGAGCCAGACAGCTCGCATTTCCCAGCGCACGACATGAAATCATGTGACTTTTCCGTTTTATTTCGGAGCATTCGAAAGAAATCTTCCGCAAACACTGAATTTCATTAAGTGCAGCGCATAACTTTGCATCTTAAAGACTCTTGCAACTTGGCAAGAGTTGTGCGCTTCCCTGACAATTTGATAGAGATCGCGAGGGAAATGAAAGTAGATAATTTAGGTTGAGATTTATTGCGATATTGTTGATGAATTTTTGCCCAAGAAGCATCAATTTCATATGATAAATCGACCGCTTGAGCGTCAATAATCGGAACACACAAGCAGTTAATTGTAGGCGATGCTAAAAGAAGAAGCATTTCCTCAAATTGCAAAATCTCTCAAGCATCGACTTCTTTTTCTTAAGCACACAATTTGCAATGTGAAACTCCCGTGAATTGGACTAATTTATTTGCTGTCATATTCACAAAAGATCAGCATTAATATTTTTCTATAGAAAAATGTTTCTTGCTGTCTTTTGTCATGTATGACAAATTAAATTTCTCGCACTTTTCTTCCATTCACTTCTCCGGCAAACAAAGTGTGGCGTTAATAAAATTAATCGATGAATGGTTGAAACATCAGCCAACTTGTAGAGATATTGCAAATGCATGAGAAAAAGTAACATAAGCCTCAAAATGTAAGTCAAATGAAACTGTTTTCATTAGGAATTATCATCACAGTTAATGGTTAATCATTACTAATGCATTTTATGCAACATTCTCGATTGGAAATTGAGTAACTCACCAAGTCACTTTGATGGATTGCCGGATTATATTTGTAGGAGTTTTATCGCGCGGAGAAGATTTATTTTTGTAAACACGAGTGAAATGCAATAAAAGTCCACAATCTTTCCATCATTGGAATGCAGTGTGTTGAATAATTTGCGCACTTCTCTTATGAGAGTATTGAATAATGTTAGCAAAATGCTCATTTACGAGTGTCTTCTGCAACATAATTGAAAACCAATAATTCGGCCTTTGATTTGCCGAAGAGAAAGTCTACTGTGCAAAACACTTGTTCTGGATTTCTCATCATTGTGTTTCAGATGATGTTTTACCATCGATTCAGCTCTGTTTTAATTTAATTGCTCACTTCCGGGCGTGTGTTTTACGTGGAAAATCAAATTTTACAATTTCCATACTTGTGCGAAATTTCAACTGACCGTTTATTATATTGGAGGCCAATTACACGAAAAGCGAGTCAACTACAATGTCTGCTTAACCTGTTCGAGGGAGGGTCTGTCGAATAACCCTGTAATTTGCGAAGAAAGTGACTTGAAATTCGTTGTGGATATATTGAATGTTATGCAAATATAGTCACGATGAGATTCTGCAGAAAGGAAGCTCAATAGCTGTATTTAAGCAGCATTTACACGCTCCTGAACTCATTAAGAAACATTGTACATAATATGCAAATCATGCAAGGGAGAGATAATATGGCTAAACTGTGTACACCACTCCCTGACACTTCTAGAACTTTGGCAGTGCTTAAAACATGTGTTTTCCTTTTTTCTTCTCTTTTTTTGAACTTATTAGATTTTCCCAACGGCCTAAAGTGCCGTAACCTCAAATATAGGTCAAATAAAGGACGCAATTTTTTACTTGTACGACCATGAAATTTACAGAGAAACAGTGTTTGAATAATATTTTAAGTTATAAAATTATAAATCGATGATGAGCTGAATTTTCTACTTCAGAGTAAAAATTCAATCAAATATCTCGTAAAATAGTCAATTATATATCCTGAAACAAGATTTTTGAGGTTATGATCAATCTTAGCATAATTAATATAGTTTAATATTAAAAGCTTGTGATTTACATCAGATTTCATTATTATTGTGTCAGTAAATGCAAATTATACCGGCTTAAAAATTTTATGACGAAATTGAAGTAAAATTTATAATTTTTTGTAGCTTATTTGATCACAAACGCTCAACGTTTTTTAATCATTCTTTAGTAGCTCTTAAAGACCTAATACTACAAATATTTAAGCACTTCCACTTCTAAATACTTCAACTGAATTGGTACACCACATCCGATCAAATTTCCCTCCCTTGATGCAAGTAATCAACTTCCGGCTAATTAACGTCATGTTTAAAGTGTTATTTTGTCAAGTGATTTAAGACGGTGAGCAATTAAAGCGAGGCAAAGTTACACAAGCAGAATTGCAGGCTAAAATTCGTGAAAAGTGTGCAAACGTTTCATAAATCCTCCTTTTTTCTATGCTCACTGCAAAAAGCCAATAAATTAAGTTATACAGTTTGACGGGGGGAAAAACTACTAAATTCCTCTTTAAAAGGTGGAAATTTCCAACCCAGAGACCAATATTTCTTCACCTCAATTCTTCCTGCCCTTCCGCAGCGACGCAATTGTAAAAATTGTTACACTTTAGCTGCATGGATGATTACTTTCTTCACATTTGTGCACATTTTATATTGGCATCGACAATTACCCTGGATTTTGCATTTGAGATATTATATTGAGACTTTAAACATAAAATTTTATGCAATAATTTCCGCAATGGAAAAAGCTGCACAAGAGCGCCAAAGAGTGGCAATTTCGAGATCATTTCGGTGGCTGGAATATATTATCTAACATATGATCCGATTTGAATCTCTTTTCACTTTCATTGCGAGGCCACAAAGAGAGTCAGAATGGGTTGATAAATCGATAATTGAGGAAATATTGCCATCTTTTGCTGAGGATTAACGAATTCGAGAAAGTTGCCGCGCTTTTCTGTGTCTCTAAATCTCGCTTTCTTCCTCCGGATCTCGCGCGCTAATCCGCTCGCGCCAGTGTCACAATTTGATGCAATAATTACATATGATAGCGAGCATTATGCAACGCCTTAAGAGCAGAAAATCCTCAGCCTTTGCAAGATTGCGTTTGGAAAACACTTTCGCGCGCCTCTTTTCCTTTCCCACCCGCGCAATTGGAAATTTTCTCCCATCGCCGAGACATGAATTTCACGGCATCGAGAGTTGATATCGCGAGTGATTGAAATGCACTAAATGGAACTCGTTCTGCGCGCCAGAGACCATAATTTTCCACGCCGGCCAAGTCACGGTGTTGGCAATGACTTTGACACGGAGGAAAGTCGACTCTTCACCATGCGAATCGGTGCGTTTTCGCACTCAAGAAGCGCGCGCGATGATGAATTCGTGCTCTCAAGACGTTACTCAATGTCTGATGTGTTTGTTTTCCTTTTGTCTCCGGCTTGTCTGGAAGGGTTTCTGTGTGGTAAAGTTGAGAAGAATTTCTTTCACTTTCATGTAATTTTTTTTCATGTTCTTCAGCCACTCTTTGTCCTTCTTATCTTATCGATTTCATCAATTGTAATCAAAATGTGTATAAAAATTGTTGTGTTATTTATCAAAAATACACAATGAAAGCATGTTAAAGTAAATTATAAAATCATTGTGTGATTTAACACTGAATTTTACGTATGAAAATGTAAATCAATTAAAGATTGAATAAAAGAGTTATTGAGTAAGGATTCGTTCGCCAGTGAAAGAAAGTCATTAATCCAATTTAAATCACTTCTCTTCGTTCAATTTTACTTAATTATATGCTGAAATCTTGCTGCTCTTGCAATCAAATCATCATTGATCAAACACAATTAGGCCTTAAGCATTTCCATGTCACTTGAAGCGCATGATTGTGTTGGGAAAAGGAGGAAAAACCGCGTGAGAAAATGCACTTCTGCATGCGAGATTCAGTGAATGTGTGTGGCTTAAAGTCCATTTGGAAGAAAGTGTGTTCAAGATTTGCGTCATCAATCAAACAAATAATGCAATTTGCTTGTTTCTTGCTCTGTTCGCCGGTTTTTTCGCTCAGCCAATTCTCTCCCTCTCGCGCTTTTTACAACTACCTGAAGTCCGCGGTGCGTTACTCAGCAGCGCGTCCGGCCGGTGATGTCACAAGTGCATGCGAGCTCCTTCCGACACACTCGCCGGCGGCAATGGCGGGAGGCGCCGAAAGTGGGGCACCCCGTATAAGAGGCGCTCCGTCCGGGCGCACAATTTGCATTCAGTCGCGCTCAGCCGATCGAACTCGCTCGCTTCCTTTCGCTCTCCTCCGCTCTACTTTCTCACACACTCACACTCACACACACGCGTCTTCAAGATGCTGAAGCTGGTCGTGATCTCTGCAGTCTTCGCCTGCGCCCTGGCCGGAGTCATTCACGAGGACTTTGGCGGTCACGGGGGTGAATCGGAGACGGATCATCATCACGAGGTGGAGCACAAGCACGCCACGTCGCACCAGAGCTTCAAGGTGCATCACTACCACCCAGTTCCTGTGTACGTGAAGAAGGAGGACCAGCACTTCCTCAAGCACCCCGTCGAGGTGTCGGGCGTCAAGCACAAGCTCAAGGTAAGCCTCTCACCCTTCCGAGCACATTAACAGCAATTGTGTGACAAATAACCACTTTTTCCCCTAGAAATTGACCAGAATCTAACTCAAATCTAACTCACAACCTTTTTCAGACAATATTTTGTGATTTTCTCCCACAAATTACACTTTTCAATACCTTATTTGCATGTAAACTTTGAATAGTGCTAAAAGTATTAGATAAGAATTTTTCTAGCTCAAAATTGCTTGTGTTGAGACAGAAATTGAGGTTATGTTAGACTTTACCGCACTGATGTTTTATATGCTTTTTACCAATCAGCATCCTGAATTGCAATCTTTGTGTGAAAATGTGCAATTCTATTAAAAAATGCTGAGGTAATTTCATTTAAGGCATCCCAATTTCTTTTCTCAAAACAATATTTTATTTTAAATAAGTCACATAACCTAGAAAACAAGGATAATGATTAGTAATCAATAGAAATCCAAAGCATTGAGCCAAATATTGCAAATACTCAAACATTCCCACTTCCTAAGAGTTCTGCTGAGCTTTGATGGTTAAGAGCAAGGCTAATCCGTTCCCCGTCTGTCCAGGTCCTCCATCCAGAGACTGAACACTCGCACAATCACGGCCTGACCATCGAGAATCACAGCGAATTCGAGGATCATAAGCTGCACGGCGGCCACGGTGGCGATTTCCACGGCTTCAGCCACGACGAGTCATCGCTGGGCGGCGGCTTCGAGCACTACGGCGGCGGCGGCGATGATGGCGATCACGGCGGCCACGAGTTCCATGACATCAACGTGGGCCACCATCACGAATAGCCGTGAAGATCTGCTGTAGAGCGCTCAAGAGCAAATAAAGCGACTGTTAAATTATCACCACAAAACTTTGCTGAGCTTTCTCTTGCGGCCAGTTTTTTTCCCTGGGCGCCTCGCAAAAGTGGTTTTGCGGCCTCGCAGAGATGCAATCGCAAATTGCGCCGCAAAAGAGACTTCAAACACACACATTTTCTTCTCATGGACTTTATATAAACTTTATTTACAGAGCTTTTATATCAACTTTCACATAATTTGTTCATGTTTCTTCTTCTTTTTTGTCTGCCTTTCGAGACTTTTGTCTTTGCTGCCGAAAGTTTTCTCTCTTTCTCACTCTCTCTTGGGTTTTACAACGTTAGAAACTTTTAGACACACTTGATATAAAAAAAAGAGCTTCAAGCTCTCAATGTTGCGCCCAAAAGTTTACTGGAATGTTGGAGCTTTTGAGTTTCCCACGCTTCTTTTTGCTTCAAATTTTATAATACAAAATTCCACAAGTTTCTTACAAAATTCAAAGGGAAGATAAATTAAAATCTCATAAATTGAAAGATAAACACAATGTGTTGAATTCAAAAATTAAGCCAAAAAAACAGTGTTTTTATCTTTTGTAATTCTTCAGCTTCACTGCATTTTTTGGGAGAAGTTTGAAAAATACATAAAAATTCTGCTGATGATACAATACTACTAAAATTCAGATAGGAAAAAATTTTCTCTCTGCTTTTTTCTTTTTTTTCTAAATGTACTTAAATAGAGAATTTAATAATAAATTTTATACAAAGATGTCTGAATATAAACAGCCAGCTTTTCTGGCAACATTTTTCACTTGATTACCATCAAAATATATTCAATTAAGCTTCCACTAAATCTTCACTTATATCTCAATATTGTATGAAAATTCTTCTCTCCTTGTCTTTCAACCATAATCTCCATTATACTTTTCCACCCTTTAATTCCAAGCCTCGTCTCTGGCCTTTCTCTCTCTCTCTCTCGCTGTCTTTCCTACATGAGAGAATCCGACGTCGGCGGCAGAACAACACTCGCTGAGGAATTGTCCGCAGACGTCGTGGCCACAAGTTGCGGAAGTTGAATTTGAACAGGTAGAGTTGTGTTGTTACTTGTTGGTACCTGCGAAAGACAGTGCAAAGCTTCACAACCACTCTCTTAACTTAAGAGACCCCCCAGAGATTCGCAATATTCTATGGCCAAAATCCTCAAACAATAGCAGAAAACCCAGAAAACTCACGTGAATGATTGTTGTGTTGGTGGCGGAAGTTACCGGAGTCGCAATGGAAGTCTGGATTGTCGCTGCATCGACTGCAGATCCCATTTCTGAATCCCCGCTAGCGTCCTGCGAGCTCTGCCCGGACATCGACGGAATCGCCGTGATGGACACAGCCGGAACTCCTGCCACTGACGTTGCAATGGTGCTCGTCACAGCAGACGGCGCGGCCGCAGCCACCGCCGCGGCAGCACTCGCTTGCGCACTCAATTCCTCCTTCATCCGCTTCATCGCGTGCGACTTGGCGTGCTTCCGCAGATGATCCTTGCGATAGAAGCCCTTCCCGCACTCGCCACAGATCTGCAAAAGGACACAAAATCACGTGATCAGAAATCATCTCTCATGCAAGAGCTCAAAAAGCACTGAAATTGAATCAATACAACTCGATCAGATTAAATTGTTCACCGTAAACACATTTTAACTTGAACTAAAACCTAATAAAAATGCATCACCAAATTCTTAAGATCCGTTTTGTCAAGTCTCATCCAAAGTAGAACATTTTTGTGACCTTATTCTTGATTTTGATGTCATTAGACGGTCCTTAAAAACTCTTTAGCCGGCTAGAAAATTTAACTTAAGGATTTGACAACAAGAAATCATTCTAAAAGGTCAGTTTCTCAGCTTCTCACCTCAGTTTTCTCTCCACTGTGAATGACAAAGTGAAGATTGAGGTGCTCCTTGCGCTTGAAACCCTTCATGCACACGCTGCAGATGTAAGGCCGATCGGGATTGTGGCCCAGTTTGTGCCTCTCCAGGTGCTCCTTCCTCTTCAGCCCAGCGCCGCAAATGTCGCAAATGAATCTACACGAAGAGAGAATATCAATCAATTCACCGAATCACCATTGATTGCTATTCAAGCCAACTAAACGGTACTCATTTCACAAATTTAGAAGAGAGAGAAAAAACGCTCAAGAATCCAGAGTGACAATGCTTTTAACACATCCAAGAGACATTTCCCCTGATAATTAGAATAGAAATTGACACAAATTGAACTAAATTCTCGGCTTTTTGGTTATCTATCGACCGTAAATGAGGGTTTAACACTCAGGCTAATTGGCCAGACATGCGTCAGACACACAAACCCACCTCCTTTCGATCTTATGGACGGACAAGTGTTGCTCCAGATTTTCCTTCTCAGGATAGGCACGATGGCACTCCGGACAGCAGAAGAGTATCGTTCCATCGAGCGCCGTGGCGATGTGCACCTGTCCAGGCTTCGGTCGCTTCGGCTTCGGTGGTTTCTTCTTGTAGCGCCTCTTCTTCTTCGCCTTCTCGCCACCCTCCGTGGCCGGAATGTCACCCTGAATGTCCGTGCCCACGCTGGCGTCCTGACTGTGCGACTCCTGCTGCGCCTGCACCTCAACCTGCTGCTGCTGCTGTTGCTGTTGCTGCTGATGCCCGGCGTACTCGTACGTGATCAGCGCCCCATTCAGCGGACTATTCTCCACCTGAGATTCCCTTTTGATTGTCTCCGCGTTGAACTTGAGGAAGTGATGCAGATGCAGCGGTAACTCCTGCGTGGGAATCCGCGAAAGGTAGTCAGAGATATCGGCTGAGGCACTCGATGTCGCTGGATTTTGCTGCCACACAGGCTCCTGCTTTATCTGAATTGGCCTGCAAACACACAAATAGAGATCAGAATATATATTGTTTATGCATTCAACTTAATTTATGCTAATTGCGGCAATTTTACATTGAATGCAATGCAGATTTTTACAATGATAAATATAAATAATTGTTATTCTTCAAATCTGCCCCAACATATTTGCTCAATTACTCACTAACAATTTCAACAAATTTGCAACACTCTTTAACAACACACAGGCAATTTTGGAGAAAGCACGTCCGGCTTCGGGTCTCAAATATGAGTCAATCTAATAAGAGATTGAAAGGTGATTTGTTGATTTTTCAGTCCTAATCGATGCGCAAAACATCAAATTAAATAGTTCAATTGTGAACCTTAATTTAAAGTCTTGAGCATAAATAACCCGAGAAGAATCTTTGGGTTCAAGTATTCAATCATTATCAGTTCATCATGAGTTCCTAGATAGAATTAAGACAGGAGTTTCTTGAGAAGCCGAATTCAGCATTAAAAAAAATGTGTCTTTGTGATTCCAGGAATGTTAACTCACTTGACGATTGTCTCCTCCTCCTTGGCGCTCTGCTCTGTCGTCTGCGATCCCGTGGTCTGCTGAGTATTCTGCTGCGTCTGCGAGAGCGCCGCCTGCGCCGCGATCAGCTGCAGATCCTGCGGCTGCAGCGCCGCCACCACCGTCATGCCCTCAGGCAGGCCGTGATTCTGCAGGATGTCACCCTCTTGCGGCGCATACGCCACCGTGAGCACCGTCGTGCCCTGCTGCAGGCCCTGAATGGGGATCTGCATCTGACCCATTTGGAACTTGGGCTGCTGCTGCTGCTGAATAGGATTGGGATTCACCACCTGAATCTGCACCGTCTGCTGCGCATCTCCCGGCTTGGCGCCCGGCATCGTGATGGGCAGCGTGATGAGTGTCTGGTGCGTCTGCTGCAGACTGTTGGATGTCGTCGTTGTCTGTGTCTGTCCGGGGAACGCTGCCCCACTTTCCACCGGCCGGAGGTAATGAACTCCGCCATCCCCTCCAGACACCAATCCGACCACCTGTTCCGTCGAAACAACACAGAGAAACACTGAGAAAATGCCCTCTCTGTCTTGCTTCCCCCAAACAAAAATGTGTGGCGCACATCGAAAATCGCGCCAAATCTCAAGCACGCGTCTTTTCGCGCGCGCACAAACACACACACGCACAAGCTGCTTCTCCCGGCGAAAAATGGACCACATCATTCTCACAAGGAGTCCCCCATACACACCACACAATCAATTCAATATCGCATTCCCACATCAATATTCACATTCGATTGTGGGAGAAAAGATATCAATTAGCACTCGCCGAACTAACATCTGCCGCTCCACGTGCGACCAGAGGTGAGACTCTACGCCTCCGCCTGGCCATTCATTACTCGCCGGCGTCCATCGAGAGGGTAGAGAAATTGCAAGTGCAATTCTCGCACGCAGAGCATTTGCGTGCTTATTTTCGGACACTAAGAATAGTTCATTAATTCTATTCATAGCTTCTCACTTACGTTGCACATTAGCTGAAGGGATTTGACCTTTAAGAAGTATTTGTATTCATTTGTGATACAATGTAATGGCTTACAAGACATACTTCTGATGGCTATGATCGGTTCTAATGCATGTCAGGAAAGCTTTCGTATGAAATACACAGAAATTTTCAGAAAAATTAAATGTATAGAGAAAGAGTGAAAGAGTGAAAAAAAATATCTTTCATTTCACTCATTACACAGTCTACCTTACATGTAAGCCTTACAGAAGCCATTCTTGTACACTTTCAATCCAAGAAAATATAATAAATACAAGAATATTTTTGGCTTTCCAAATAATTCGAAATTCCATGGAAAAAATCCTGAATCATCGTTCTTCATTCTCGCTCTCAAGATTTTAAATGCCTCAACAAATTAGCAAGAAACTCTTCTTCAGCATGTGCAAAAGATCTCCGTGCAGTCAATAAATTTACAACAAAACGCATGAAGAAAAATACCAGCAAAATTCCCCATCTCTCAAGCGTTGTGAGAAAATATTGATTTTACCTGTGACGACCATGACATTATATTGTATGTACAAAATGAGAACCTCAGTGTATCTCTCACGACTCTGATTAAAAGCTGAATACGATTAGAAACATTATAGACAAGTCGACTAAACACACTCTTTATGAAACTCTTGATTCTCCCCTTTCTCACCGCGCACACCTCAAGTCTCCATCTCTCTCTCGCTCACTCACTGTGTGTCTCTTTAAACACACATTACCAATTGAGCATGTAACATAAAATCGTGCTGTTTTATTCCATCTCACTCACGCAGCGATTCTCTTCTTCTCGTTCATGCCATTTAAAACACAACATCGCAAAACTCACACAATCTCCACTGTATGTTTTAAAATGTTATAGAGTGAAAGTCAATTTTTCAATTGGCTAATTATAAGAAAGAAAGAAAGAAAAAAAACGCCACACACTCTAAAAGTGCGAAGCAGTTTTCCTTCTTCTTTAGCAAAATTGACTCTCTTTTCCCACAACAGCACTTTCTGCCTGACAATTTTTGTAGAGAGAAAGATATACAAACTTACCTGTCCATTGGCCGTTGTTATGTTCTGCGTAAATTTTGCCGCTGTGAATTGATTCACAGCATTTGCAGGTATCGCACTGGCGAATTGGGTCGTGAATGGAGAAAAGTTCATCTTTTGGTACTGAAAAGACACACACACAAGAAACATTATTAATAAAATCTCTTTCTCTCTTTTGCACTTTATAAAATTATCCTCCTGTTTTTTCTTCTGTCACAGCGACAGAGAAGAAGAAGAAGGAAATTGCATTATGAAAAATGCATCGATGGTGTGATAATTGTAATTGAGGACTCACATCCAAAAAGTTATCATTATCATCCATTTCCATTTGGGGATCGCGCGAGTCTCAAGATCGGTTGAATAGCTGTAAATCGACTGTTGAAGACGCGCTGCTCAACACACAAATTCTAACAGTTATATTCTTCTTTTTCCACCTCTTTTCTCTTCTCTCTTCTCTTCTCACATCAGGAGAGAGAAATTAAATTATAGTATAACGCCAAAACAGTTAGCTTTTTAATTTAATTTACTATTGTAATTAATGAGTTGGTATTTATTATTTCATTTAATATTTCTCTCCTTCTTTCTCTTATAAACTCAAATCACTGTGAGAAATGTTCTGCACTTTTGCCTCATTAATACACAAAACACTTCTTGGAAGATCTCCTTTAACATCTACCAACAGTTTTGAGAGATGTTGCTGAAGATAATTGAGTCCACGGGAGAGATTCGCGTTACACCATCCGAAAAAACAGACACAAAATTGTGTGCACTTTTAAATGAGCCAGTTTTGTTGGAATTTTTCGTGAAGAAATCTAAATTTTAATGAGTATTGTTGGCTTTTGAACAGTCGTGGAAACAGAGAGATAATCTCACTACTTGTCTCTCTTTTTCTTCCCTTTCAAATTGCAACACTCTGACTCACAATGAATTTTTCCACACAGGTTTTTCTTTTCAACATGAAAAGCCGTTCGAGCGAAATAAAATATCAAGTCTCTTTTACAACAACTCTTGAGATGATCGAGAAATGTATTTTTTCCACACACAGAAATCATCAACAGTCCAAAATATTTTATATCGATGACAGCACGAGAATTTCCCCGAAGAAACACGTTTTTTTTAGAGAGAATTTCAATATATTCACACTCGCTTCACTGGATGGATTTTCCACACCACTCATCAAGATTGCACAGAAGAAAGGTTCCTGGAGAGGGCGCAACTCCCTCTCTTTTCTTCCCCACAATCACTCCGAATTCCAAACACTTAAAGTATATGATTTTTGAACCCTCTTTTCTCTCTCACTGCCTGAACTTCTTCTTGGCAATTTCCGCCACCAACACTCAACCTCCCATCACTAACTTTCCTCCGCCGCTGGCCAGCGCTGAGTCCCAAACGCGCCACACACTTCTTGCACGGCGCGAATGGAGAGAGAGAAACCAGCGCCCAAGAGACAACCAATTGTGGGGTACAAATCTATAAAAGTGCTTAAGCTCACTCGTCAACGGGCACACAAGTTTCCAACACTCTTTCCGGACAAGCCAAAAACTTCCTTTCGAGGCGCCCCCGAAAAAGAGCCCCACCGTCAAACAGCACACAAGCAGTTTGTGTGTGACCTATTCGTGTTGGTCTCGATCTTCACAATAAGCGCGCAGCACCGAAGAAGAAAAGAAGTGATATTCCACCGAGTTGTTAACTTTCCAACAACATTATGTGGCCAACACACAAACACACAAACAAACACACTCAATATATTATCCAGTCAATTCACCTCGCGCGCGTTGCACACCTCAATATCTCTCTCTCGGCCTCACGTGCGTGTTTGTGTGTTTGTGTGTGTGTGTGTTGTGTTGAGGCAATAAGCATAAAATGTGCCTTGTTGCTGCCTTTTTTCACGGTGCTGTGCTGGGATTTTAACGAAATGCGAGCGCGACTCAATCATCCGCTTTTCGACCTCCTTTTGCCCCAACTGCAAAGAATCTCAAACAATTAACCTCCGCACAGCCCTTCGGTGTCCATCAAGACCCCAATTATGCCCACCAAAAATCTCCTTTTGCACAACCACGACGACAAAAACGATTCGTGGACAAAAGTATTTCACTTTGCCGATGGAAGAAATTTTAGAAAGTGGAGAGAGTAACGTGAATCGCTTGTGATTTCAATTCGAAAATCTCTTTTTTTTTCTTCTTCTTCTTTATACAACATGTTCAGAGAAAAACGGAATTCTTCAAACACTGCAATTTTTTCTCTTTTGCTGTATTTTCAATTCAACCCACCTTCAATAGCTATTGTGCAATTTGCAAAATATATATCGCCTTTTAGTTCGACCTCTCTTCAATTTTCTCTCAAACTTTGCGTGTTTTACTTTCCACAGCACAAAACGTGAACTTTTTTCTTGCTGCAAAATCAATGAAATATCAAATAAATACTCGATAATGTAATTGATCAAAAGCCATTTATCGATGTCACGTTATTGACTGAAGAAGGAAAATTTTCCGTACAAAATTGCTTTGCATTCATAAATTTTCAAGAAGCTCCAAGAAATATTGGTCCAAGAGCAAATAAAGCTCTTCCACTGGTGACAAATTCCATGAAATTATCATGCAAATATCATGGAAATTGTCTTCTTATGGCACAAAATAAATCCCAAAATATGAGTAAAGAACATAATTTCTTTACAAATTGGTAGTTTAAAAAATAAAACCAAAATAAACACAATAATTTTAAAGCATTTCTTGATTTTTTCGTCATTTCTTGATATATTGGCTTTGGTCTAACTTCAAGAAATCAACCAATCTAGCTTGTCTTATTCCATTTCATCCCCAGAAAGCCTACTTCACATATAAACTGAGGAACGCTAGTGCATAAGCACTCAAATCATTTAATTCTCCCCATAAAACAGCGTGGAAAGAAGAATTGTACAAATTATGAATTAAAGCTCAGTCGATTGTCGAATTAATATTGACTGAGAGTCACTCATGTGAATATTCAATGATCAAATATTTAATTTACTGCCAACTTCTTATGGCTCATCACTTCCTATTCCAACGCGTTTGAGGCTCGCTTAACACGGAGTAAAACCTGTTTCCGAATAAACAGCCAACGTGCAATAGACATCATCGTCACGGGTTTTGCAATAACAAACATAATATTCCTAAGGTCTGCAGAGACACACAGAAGAAAAAAAAAAGTCACAGAAAAGTCAAAGAAAGAAAATAAGTCACGTAATCTATCGAGTTCAATCAATTCCCAAAAATCGAACATGTCGATCTGAAAAACGAAAAAAAACCGTGTGTGAACGCAAATTAACATTTCATGATCTTGAAATTGTCAAAAATTCAAATTCAACCATTACAAAATCGATTTTTTCTGTTAAATTATTATTCACTCACTTAAAGCCTCAGATAAAATCCCCAGAATAAAACCCTGTAGAATTTAAAATTCACACACAAACACACACACATTAACATCAATACTTTTTTCCACGAAGGCAAAAAGTGCATTGAAATGATTGCTCTATCGTAATTTTTTCATTTCACGTGTACAATGTTGTATAAAGTAAAATAAAACCCCATTTTTGTGTCATTCACACATAAACTCATATATACACTTCATCATCATCACACAAAAACTCTTTGAGAATTGATGCATACAAAAGTTGATTTCAGTCTGTGAGAAGAAATCTCTCTGCATACATTTTACGGTGTCTTTTGAGGCACTCTTTTTCATTAAGATTTAATCGAAAGACATTTTCAGAGAGACACAAATTGAGAGAGAGAGAGAGAAGCGAAGAGATTCGGTAAAGAATAAAATGCAAGAAGGTACAATTTCAAATTGTCTGTATATTGTAAGACACTCATTAAAGTGTGTTGGCTCATATAAAAGCCGCCATATAGTCAAGAATTCGAAAGTAGGTTACAAGAAAACTCAACATTGCCATGCTCAGCCGTCTCGCTCGCACACTCATTTCAGCAACTTTTTCGTCACTCCTTTTTTCTCATTTATATATGCCTCGACTCTCGAATGCGCTGATTGAACCTGCGGTTGGGCTTTTCGCCACTCTCGCAGTGGCATTTTCCGTCACACAACAGAGACATTGCACAGCTGCAGACACACAATCAGGCAGCGCCTCTGAGACTCTCTCGACCGCCAAGGGAAATCACAACACACAGAGACGCAAATGCGCCGGTGTTGCGCTGGGAAATCCACCCCCACCGTTCAGCACACTGTGTCAGCTGAAGATTCGTGGTGGTGGATGACCGGAAAGCTGGCACGCGTTCGCTGATAACCACGCACTTTCTCCCACCCGAAAGCATCAATAAACGCCGGAGAGAAGGAGAAGCCACAGAGTTTCCCACCCGAAAAGACCAACTTCTCAAATAGTTTAGCAAGTGAATTTGAACAGAAAAGGACTCACAGAGCCAAAGATCCGCCGAACTTTTGACATTCCAGAACACAAGAAGAATTTTCTTTAGGGCTTCAATTCTTCTTGTAATCTAATATCAAAATATCATATATTTTCGTAGCAGTCCAAGAAGTTTTCGACGCTTATCGACACTTATCGATACGAATTGCGTGCAATTTCCTTTTTAATACAATTTAAGGGAAAACACATAGTAAAAATTGACAGTTTAGAGAGACTAATTAGTCTTTATCAATCATATTTCTCCCTAAAATTGTGTTTATACAAGAAATGGCACTCAATTCGTGTCGATAAGTGTCGAAAACTTCCGTCACTTCAACGCAAATCAAAGGCAAGTGGGAAAAGACGCTTAGAATTGAAGCATTTGCATAATTACAATCAATTGGTTTAAATCAGAACAATTCAAATTTGGTTCGAATTACTTAATTTCTAGTCATCTTTCATTGAATTCTCACTATTCTAACCAGATCAAACCAGCAATTTTGCTTCGCAGTTAGCATTATTAAAACCGCTTTATCATTATTCACGTAAAGGAAAATTCCCAATTAAACTGTCAGTTAGTCTAAGAAATACTGTCAAGAGCGAATTAAAGTTAAAGTGACACAATTCTCCAATTCAAGGCCAGTCAAAGATATGCACACCATCAAATCCATAACAAACAACTGGGATTAGGCAAAACCGCCCCCTGGATTACTCGCAAATGCTAACATTCACCCTTTTTCGCGGTCTTGCGAGGGGTTTTAGATTTCAGTGCGCCAGGCTGAGAGTTACAAGGAATACCGCTAAGCGCTCGCGAGGGTCACTGATCTCGCCCATCATTCACAATCGCCCCGTGACGTCAGCGGCCCGATGAATGAAAGCGAGAGGCTCAGCTGCACCCCACCATGAGCACCCGCTGCTCCCACTTCTTCCGCCGACGCATTTTTCCCGCGGAGCGCCGCAGAGCGGGAGAAGGCGCTCGGGAGGGAGAATTTGGGGTGGGGCGCGGAGTGTGGGAGTCTCGTACGCACGAGGAGTCCTCTCTCTCCCTCTCTCGCCCGCCCTCATCTGCCGTCCCGCTCGCCACCTGACGCTGAGCACATGGCACACAAAGGGACACATCTCTCCCTCTCCTCTGTGCCACTGTGCCACCTCTTTCGCCAGCCAGCCAGAGCCAGTCCGGAGGGGCGCCGAAAGGACCGAGAAGACCTGCGAGAAGAGGTCATCAGCCGCGCGGCACAAGAAGCCTCGAGGGCCGCAGACGGCAAGTCGCAGACACCAGAGCTGTTCTATGGGTGGGGATGAAAAAATCTCCTTTCCTTCTTCTTTCACACTCATCGCGCGCCAACTTCTTCGCTCTCGCACTTCGTCAACATCGCACTAATGCCCCCACTCCTTTTTGAGCCTAGGAGTCTCACTCATCCCTTCCCAAGCCCGCGCTCGCACGTGCTCTCGCCGGCCCTCCTCCATCGCGCGCGCGATCATCCCGGAATCCCTCATCAGTCATTCTGAGCAGGCGAAATCTCGCCAACAAAGAACGCGAACGACAGAGTTCACAAACTCACATCGGAGATGGAAGCCTTCAAGTGATTAAAATGAATACTTGTAACTCTTATTCATTATGTAAATATCCCAGTGCCTTCACGATGTGCTGTTGTACATTATTTATAATGTAAAACACATAGCCTTGACGTGGCAATTTTCTATGGAGTTCAATTCTAACAACGGGGGGTTTATCAATCCGCGCGTCACGTGACTTCTCTCGATTTTCTTCGTCTCTCGGCGATTCCGGGTCAATTGAGTGGCACACGCAGTGACGTCAGATGGTCAAGGGAACGATATTCTCAAACATTGGAAGACAATTAGTGAGATAAAGACCTTTTTATCAGCGCAGCGGGTTTATAGGTTGTCGTCTTATCAATCCAGAGACAGACAGTCGCGACAGGAAGAAACATTGATTTTGTCTTCTTTTGCATGTTAACCTTAATTTGCTTCCACTTGGACTGTTTAATTGTATTTTCTATGTCACTTCTACACCTTGTCACCATATTTGATATATTTAAATATTTTGTTGTTATGAATTGGCAGAAAGAGCGCCCTCTTTCTGTGCGTAAGACATAATTTTTAAATGAATATTCTTTCATTTGCGTCTCAATTTCCCACTGGTTTTTCAGCCAACGTTCAGATGGTGAAAAAAAACAACAGTTGTTGTTTATAATATAATCTAAAAGGATGCAAATGCTCCCTTTATCTGACTAGACACAAAAAAAGTCAACTGCAAACCGCGCAATTTTATGCTAATTTCTGATCTCTGAAAAGAAGGTGAGAAAAGAGACCCTCGTTTGTGCGCTGATGAACCCCTCAATAGACAAAATCTCAGCGTGAAGAATCAACGGTTCCGGAGTGACGGAGTCGGGCTGCCCAAGAGACACGGGATCGCTCAGGAGGCGCACGTGAAGTGTGTCACGACGGTCGATCGCCCTGGGAGGGGGTTGCACAGCGAGTGGGAGGGAGAAGAGCGTGCGAGAGGAGCAATCGATATACGGACGCGCCGCTCGCACTCGCACTGCGCGCCATTGCGGCGTCTCGCTCCCTCCCCGGACGCCGCCACTGCTCTCCGGAGGACCCCTCCACGGCCGCACGGCCTCCTCCACGCCCTTCCTCCGCCACTGACTGGCATCCCCCACTTTCCCCCCGCCACTCGGGCTCCCTCTCCACCTCATTAAACACCAGGACTGGGAAGAGTTGCGGCAGCTGTGGCGTCGCCAGTGTGTCCCTGGGTGCACGCCACACTGCATCCCGGGCGGCGCCCCACAGCACTTACCTCGGCCCGACGCTCGCTGCACTCGCTCACGCCAGCGCCTCCACGTACGACGTAACGGGACCCCGCTCGGCTTCCGTCGCACTGAAGCGCCTCCACTGCACTGTCACGCACTCTGGCACACTGTCCGGGCGCTCGGGGGGCGTCTGCGGAGGCTCCCGCTTGGCTCTATCTCACAATTTCCCGTGGAAATCCGGGTGAAAAAAGTGTCCGTGTTTTTGCTGTCACCGCTCACTCACACTGCACGGCCCCTCAACAAAGATGGCCGCGACGCTGTCATGGTGGGGGAACACGGCGCAATTGCCTAACCTCAGGCGACCGCTCCCGGACTCGACATTTCTCAAGATGCATCATGCACGCACATATGCCAGCCAAGAGAGCGCCCCAAGGGGCAGGAAAACCACGGCTTCCACGCAAAACAAATGTATTTCCCTCTCCGCAAAATTCCAGATCACAAATCGAAGCACTGCGAGCGCTTCAGTCGCTGCGTGTGCAGCTCAAACAGCAGCTTATTTTTCAGGAAATAGTAGGGATTCTCCAGAATGCTGAGCTCTGGGCAGTACTCTGACATGTGCACCGACTCGGGCATCTCCTGTCGCATCTCCAGTCCCTTGGGCACGTTGTAGAAGGGCCCGGGCGTTGGATTGCTAGAGCAGAAGACTCCATTGTTGGGCGGGTGGGTGTAATTTTGATTCATCACTTCGGAATTTGAGCTGCTGCTGTCGTAGATCTGTGGCAGGGAAGTTGCAGTCAGATGCAGGTTGTTTATCCGCTTCGAGAGGGGCATAAAGTCCATCGAGACGTCTTCCTCCTCGCGAGAACGTTTCCTGGAACATGAAGAACGCCCTTGAATTTCAAACAGAACTTCCCAAGAAATTGAGCAAGTTGAGATGCTTTACCTGTTCAGAACGTGATCCATCCTCGTCTACAGCTTGGGAAATGCTCTAAAGGCAATTTATTGACCAAATAAAACTGATTCTGCACAAAAGAATTGGTCTTGAGCTCTTGAAAGACGGAGATTCTTCTTCTTCTTCTTCTTCTTCGATTTGACTTTTCAGACGTTTCAGACAAAACACAACTCAACCCAATTAAGCAATTCCATGAACCGTAAGTGTCACAAGACAAGTCGGTGGAAGTCTTAGGAAGGTTCCCATGATTCTCAATGCACACAAAATTTGTTCAAAAAAATTTGCACTAAATATTCACACAAAAAAATTCATCTGCTTTTCTTTTACTTTAGATAGCAAATTTCAATTACAATTGAAAATAAAATGGTACTCAACAAATACAACAGAATTTTCCCGGTTCAAGAAAAACTCATATGGGGAAAGTTCGGAGTATTCATCGGAAGGTTCTCCAGCGATTCCGCTATGGGTGCCTCAGCTCGGTTGGGCTGCTTTCCTGCCGAAGGCGAACGAAGAGTACACTGTCAAGCGCATCCCTGTCGCGGGATTTCGCCCGCGAGCACGCAGCGGCGCTCCCCCACAAGAGTCAGTCCTAGTGGAATCGTCTGAGGGTGAAGACGCGATTTCAGCGCGTGCTATTTTCGCATTGCATTTATTATTATTCAATTCATTTCTTATTTTTCATTTGTTCTTCCACGTCCTACGAGGAGTCACAATAAATCCCGCCGAGTGCGTGGAGAATCCGGTGCAGTGCATTGTGTAGTTTTTTCCTCCCTGGGAAAAGTCTCTCATTTTCCGGAGACGGCGAAGGGCGCATTTTGAGAGCTTGTGTGGCACGAGCAGAAGGATTATCTCTGGACAAAGATCTTCAGCATCACCTCACAGGTAAGAAGAAGAGAGTGCGGAATGTTGCATTGCGGTTTAACCGCCCGTTTCGCCCACGGCTGGGAAAGTCTGTGGAAATTCTTCACCCTCAACTTGACCGTCTCCGTGGCGGCCATTTTGAGATTTCCACCCTAAATTTACACACACTTGATGCCTTTCAGGCGAATTCCCTGCCTTTTCCGCCTCTCGTTCGCGTTTCTTTGCCTCGCCGAGGGAAGATTCTCCCCAGGAACTTCATCCCTCGCTCACCCTGTTGGTGGTCAATGAACTCTTTTTTTTCCTTTGAGCTCGGGCACACGGGTGCAGCGCGATGCAGTTTTCCGGGCGCTTGACGCGCGCGGGGGTGGGAAAATTCGAGGGTGTGTCCGGAAAAATGCAAGCAAACCCCGCAATTTTTGGCACACTTTGTGGCGCTCTGAATTTGAATTTGAATCACTTTATCGCTTTTCCCAGGGTTTCTTTATAATTTTCCTCTGTGGGAAATGGGGAAAATGTCTTGGGATTGTGACGCCAAGGGCACGGGGATTCAAAGGTGGTTGTGGAGAAATGCGAGAAATTTCCTCTGCACCCTCAACAAAGGCAATGTGGCAAATGATGAAAAATCTTTTGGGAATTTTCCTTCCGGGTGGGATTTTGCCGGAGAATTCTGGGCCTGATTCGAGAGGTGGGCAGAGAGACCCACCCTCGGTTGCTGTCTTATAAATTTTCCGACTGTGGCGCAAGCGCACGCCGCGGAAGCTTTGGATAGAGATTGCCAATGCTCGCGAGATCGAGTGTGGAAGCGAGAAAAGAACAACCCATAAGATGGTGATTGGGAAGCGTCTTGGGATCTCTCTCTCTTGGGGTGATCAAGGAGCGTGCCGAGGGTGAATTGAATGAATTTCCGCACGGATTCTTATGTAATTTATGCATGTTTGCAGCGACAGCGCCGTATTATTCTGCATGTCGAGCGCATGTGCCATTTTCACACACAAACAGCGCGCTTTTTTCGCCCAAAGAACAACCCTCGGACGTCCGTGCAGCAAATCCGACTGGAGTTCTGTAATGAGCAAAGCCGGAGAGAGTCGAAAGAGGCCTAAAAAGCAGGGCGACTTTTTCCCTATTATACTAATTATTTATAAACAAAGTGATAGTTTTTCTTTCTCTCCTCTCTTTTATACATGGGCAAAAATATAAAATTAGCCCAGCGAAATCCCCTTCGCTCGAGGGGTTGAATGTCCAATTTTGAATATTTAAAAATGCAGAGAGTGAGACGCGGAGTCTCCAGAGTGACCCCTTTGTTGTTGTGCACCATCGCCAGACAGAGAATAGGGAACAATGCAGCGAAAGGACGTAATTTATATACAACACTCGCGTTCGGCACACAACAATTGGGCGCAATGTTCGAAGGGGGAGGGTTGAACACGCAAAGAGGGAGTCAAATTTAAAGGGACAACAAGGCAATGCACTCTTCATTGATGAAATTCTCGCCTTTGAATCACGGGACTTCTCGAAGGAAATTCGAGCCTGATTGTTTTCCCGCAACTCTTTTTTTCCAAGAGCGCGCACGAATTAATTGATTTTTTGATTGGCTTCACACAATTTCTCACTGATTTTTCATATACATATATTGAGAACGAAAGAGAGTAAAAGATGGGAGAAAATAAATTTTATTCATGTTATAATAGCTTCGGAGCAATTTCTCGCGCGATATTTCCGTTGAAGAAAGTATCCTGCGAAAGGATAATTGGGAGCAAAAGAAAAGAGTTCCGCATATCGATCAAATTGTGTGCATGTCGTTCTTCACTTTGCCCGTCAATCCACGGAGATATTTTATTGCAGAAATCAGTTTCACGAAGGAAATTCAGAAAATTTGCACGGATGAATTAATGCTGTCAATCAAGATTGAACTTCTGCTTTATTGACAGTGGAAATGCATTTAAAAATAGGTCAATTTGCCATCTAAGATATAGTGAAACATCTAATTTAGGCAAGGGTTGTTTTTTCTCCTCCACCTTTTAGAAGGGAGAAAATTTGTAGTTTCGCCAAAAGATCAAGAATCAATGAATTGAGGGACTTTTTTATTGATGTATTTGAGTTGCACTAGAGTTTTCCTGGGTCATTTCCATTGACATGAGGCGGAAAAATGAGTAAAAGAATTGTTTTTTGGCGTTATTATTTATTAATCAGTAGAATTTGGGCCGAAATTTTAATCAGAAAACAGTAAAACGTCATCATAAATATGCGAAAAGAGGAAAATCAATCGTGTTTTGTGATTCTTTGTTTCGTGTCAATGGATTTGCTGATAATTCTGAATTGTTTACTCACTAAACAGCTAAATTTCTGACCCAAATGTTTTCCCTGAAGGAGATTATGTAATTCATGTCAACAAAATCTGCACTTAGCCAAACAAACCGAATTAATTTATTCACATTCACCTTTGTTAAGGGAACATTTCGATTAACTGGCTTATGAATAATAGAAACAACTCCTGAAATATTCTTAATTTAATCCCTTAGAAATTGTAAAAAAACATTTGCTTAGAGTTCTTCTATACATAAACCTTAGATTTTCAAACTTCAACCAACTTTGTCTCACTACGAATATTTATTTTCCAATTTATACTCCTTTCGAATCGATATTTTTGTAGAATTTCGCTCAAAACAGGTGTAAAAATAACAACAACCCTTATTATTGTTATGATTCGCATAAAAATTGGCTTACAAACTTGTATAAAACTGTTCTATTGCAATTTTCAAACTACTCCAAAACTCTCCTTGTTTATGTATTAACTTGGATTGATCGGTTTGAGGGTGTTTTCTCAGAATTTAATCATTACTTTGGAGTGCAGAAACTTTTCTGCATTGTGTACGAGAAAATTACTTCCTTCCCGGAAAAATGGATTTTATTTTCACTTGAGAGCTCTTTCCCGGGCGAAATCCACTGCAGCCAATGCAGTTTTCCCCCAAATGCATGACCTAAATTTTAAGCTGTGTTTTTTGCGTGAATTATTGCAAAATTTTCTCTGTTATTACTATTATTTTTGGCTGTGAGACAAACAGAAAGAGAGACTCAAGTGTCCTAACGAGGGTCGCCCACGCACTTTCCCTGCCATTGTCCCTGAGAGAGGCCAAAAGAGTGATTGGAATGATATTCCACGTCACAATCAGACACAGAACGTCGGCTGAGAGACAATTTCGCTATCAGATGTGCGACGGAGGGCGGTTTTGGCCATATCGCACGCATAGTGAAGCACCCTCTGAGCCAGATGGTGTGTGTGTGTGTGAGTCCCTTTAAAGCATTGATTCACATGCATTTCGTGTCGTTGCCATCCCTCCAGGCCGCACAACATCGGGTGCAGGAGGGCGATGGTTGATTCATAGTGGTTATCCCTCCGTGTGTGTTCAACCTAGGGTAGTTTTCGTATGAACATTTTGCGGGCATTGACCTCGCCTCATGCCCTGCCTTGGGAGTCATCCGTGAAATTCTCGCCTTTTTGGCAACTCCTGAGCCCCTGGACTATTCAGGCCAGAGTTGAGACTCCTCTTCTGGCGTTGATCCTTGGCATAAACTTTTGCCCAAAAGGAAATTTATGGACTTTTCAACAGGGTTTTTGGTATGGGATAAATATCCGACCACATGAGAAGTAGGGGAAAAAAGGGAAACTGTGCTTGGCCTAGAAATTGTGGCCAAAAGAGCGATAAATTGACAATTTTTCTTGCCTCTCGGACGCAATTTTTCATCATTTTTTTCTTCACCCCTTTTGTGGCTCTTCAGCTTTGGATGCAAAGAGAGAGAGAGAGAGAAAGAGAGTAAAATCCTCTGTCACAATTTATCTCCAGCCCAAAGTGTCACGTTTTAATTCAATTCACTCTCTCTCTCATCTCTGTGTCATGAATACGCGCTTCCTGGCCATCGTGACGGGGTGAAAATCAGTCAGAAACAGGCGCAAAGGCTTTTCTGCAACATCCTGAAATCCTGCCTGAATAGATGTGAAGTCAGATGCAAAGCTACACAATGTTATGAATGATCGCGTAAAGCAAAATGTTATTGATTTTTGCTGAGGGTTAGGAAATGTGATGATATTACAAGGAGACACACTCTGAATATTATTACTTTATCTCTCTTTCTTTCCCTTTGAACTCCTACGCGAAGGGTGGGGAATAAAAGAGAGAGTCAAAGACCGAATATTGAACAAGCTAGAGATGGAGAGAATTCGCTGGAAAATAATCTGCAAATGACAAAGTTCAATTCCCTCAAAAAAGGAAATTGTTTACCACACACACACACACTCGAGCTCATAAGATGGAAATCTCTCTTTCTAATCCGGTCTTTTAGTTTGAAACACATACAAAATTATTATGATATGATGAAGGATGGAAAAATAAAGAGGATAGCATAAATTTTATTCATGAAAATTTCGCACATTTGCCATACTGTTGGACATTTATGTGAATTTCATTGCATTTTTATAGCGCAACTGCGTATTAAAACACAATTTGTGATGTGGCAGGGGAGGGAAAAAAGGGTGGCAGACAGACACTCCCTTTGGGAGTCTGGCGAAATGGGGTGGAATTTTGCAACATACAAAAGATATACATTGAGTGGATTTTAAATTGGTTGGTGAGAGAAAATTACAATTTAAATAGCTATTCAATTAATTGGACTTTGCAAGTGAAATTGGAAAAGTTTTCTTAGACGCCTGAGAGAAAAGCTAAATTGACAGTGGATAAAGTGCAATTTAACATCAGATCTTTTAAGCTGGGTGAATATTCTGTTAACTTATTGAATTTGCTCTTCAATAATGTTGCAGTCAATCAAGTTCATTCAACTTATCGACTTTGTTTCGACAAATTTCAAGCCCTGAATCTTAAAATTAAAGTTAGTCACATGAATGACTAATTTTAGAGTTGCCATATGAAAGAGACGCTAACAAAATGGCTTCTTTCGATTGGTAGATTATTCAAACTACTGTTTATGTTTGTTGTTTTCTATTATCGTTTGTAGCAGATAATTTGAGGCATTTAGTTGAATATTCCGATGTTTACTGTCGCTTTGTTCCTGCAATTTTGTCATTCAATCATGTGAAATCCTCAAGCGTGGGTGGATCCCTAAATAAAGGCTCTACTCAGGTGAAGATTGACGTAGAGAAAGAGGAGAAGAAGGGACAATTTATCATAAAATATGAATATACAAATTTACCCCATTTGTTCCTAATCTTCTTTTCCACAATTTTCCTCTTTTGTCGTTTCAGTGTGACGAAAACCACCCCCACATTTTTGAAAAAATTACTCACAGCGAGTAAATTGAAGGCGGCGATCAAGGAAGGATAAAAATAAACCAATTCTTATACTGTGAACAACTGAAAAAAGTATTAAACGTGCTATTAAGAATTAGGAGAATTAATCACGATATTAACATAATATAAATTTGAAAAGAAAAAGAAAAAAAGAAAAATACATAGAAGAAGCTAAAGAAAAAAAAATCGTATTGCGAAAAGTCGTTGTGAAAAGTGAAAAAAAGTAATCTTGTTGTTTTCCAATTTTATATACAAAAAAACACATAAAAAGAAGTGAAACGAGAAGGACAAAAAACGCATAACAATAAATTTACCAAAATATTACGTGAGTGTATTGTAAGTGTGTAACAACAAATTATACACTGAACGAGTGAGATTTTTCATTTGGGGCAAAACTCTCTGTGCAGAAATCTTGTTCTCCTCTGTGTTAATTGGGCACCAGTTTTTTGTCTGGTGATTTGAACGCGAGCGCGGCGAGGAAATCAAGGAGTTTTTTGGTGGCACGTGACGCGACGAAAGGGTTGCTAAAGCATCGAAGGGCACCGCGAGGGTGAAACATGACAAATACGATGGAAACTGCAGTGGCACAGAATGGCACAACACAGACAGCTGCCAACAATGGCAATCCCGGCGAGGGCCTCAGTCAGGAGGAGTCGCGGACGAACCTCATCGTCAACTATCTGCCGCAGACGATGACCCAGGAGGAGATGCGATCGCTGTTCGCCAGCATTGGCGAGCTGGAGAGTTGTAAATTGATCCGCGACAAGGTCACAGGTGAGCCGCGAAAAGTTCATGCAATTCTGCCGCTTTTCCTCTCTCTGTATATATATTAACAGCTCTTACGTCTTACGGACTTTTTGTTCTATTTTTACCCACTATCGATTTAGATTGATTAAACAATTGGTGAACTTTTTCCACCCTCTTTCTACACAATCCTTTCACTCTTTTTTTGCGGACATGACTCTGCCATTTGCTCATGCATTCTTCAGCCTCATTAACAAGTGCATGATTCATTCATTGTCATCCTTACTTCTTTTCTTATTCTAGTCTTTCCCGCATCTGGCAATCCGGCTTTGCAGCAAGGTAAGAAAGAAAAAGAATTAAGGCAGATAAAAGAGAGCTTTTCTCTTCCATCGCGCACACACTCTTTATTATTAAACTTTCACATCCAACAAAATAAATACAAGTATTTTCGCTATAAAATATTTGCCCCTTGTTTCATCTTCTCTTTGGCCAAAATTGAAATTCTTTTCTTGTTCTCTTCGTTGGAGTTTTCTTTTACACTTTTATGTCTCTTGTCTCAAAATGGAATTCCTTAACTTTTAATCTCTCTTTCTCTCACTCTCTTTGAATGTGATGTGCATTGATTTTAGGGGTAGAAAGTCAAGACAAACTTTTTTCTCCAATTAATTTGATATAAATTTCTCTTTGCCCATTCGTGACGCAGGACAAAGTTTGGGCTATGGATTTGTCAACTATCAGAAGCCCGAGGATGCCGAAAAGGCCATCAATACACTGAATGGATTGCGACTTCAGAATAAAATCATTAAGGTGAGAAAATTCGTTATTCTTTGAATATTGTAAGTTCTTATCTCCACCACTAGAAGTGATGAAGTTCCAGAACTAAAAAAATCTCATAAAAAAAATAAGATTGATCAAATTTTGAGACTGAGATTCTGAGGAAATTTTCAGCAAAAAACCTGTTATTGTGCACTTTTTATCTATCTTTAGCTTTTGGCGCCATCACAAACTGCGCCATATTGATATTGTTTGATTGGATTTGCTTGGTTTCATCTGCAAATTGACTTTGTCGCACAGAGTTGTGAATTGCGTTGACCGCAAGAATGTTTGTTTATCAAAAATATCCTTTGAATATGAAAAAATACGTGAATGTGTGTCAATTAAAAAGTGGAGAATGCTCAAGTGGGGACTTAATGAGAGACACCCACGAAATCACGACGAAAGGATTGACCTTAGAGGACAAAAATACTCATGAGAGTTTTGGGTTTGCGTGTTCCGTTTCAGGTGTCCTTTGCACGCCCCAGTTCTGAATCGATAAAGGGGGCGAATTTGTATGTTTCTGGATTACCAAAAAGCATGACACAGCCCGAATTAGAGGCACTCTTTTCACCCTATGGACGAATTATAACATCGCGAATCCTGTGTGACAATATCACAGGTGAGATTCTCACGTTAAATGGTACGCAAAAGATGATTTCACACACAATGTTTGGTTTTTTCTCATCTTCTCTTTTTGCAGTGCAACAATTCGTGGCTGGAGAGCTACCAAATGCTTCGGGCACATCCAAAGGCGTTGGTTTCATTCGCTTCGATCAGCGACACGAGGCGGAGCGCGCCATTCAGGAGCTGAACGGAAAGGTGCCGAAAGGATGCACCGAGGCGATCACGGTGAAGTTTGCCAACAATCCCAGCAACAATGCTAAAGCACTCCCACCATTGGCGGCATACTTGACACCGCAGGCCACGAGGCGCTTCGCCGGCGCTCTGCCAGCCGGGAGATTTAGGTGAGGAGAAGATGCCGGAAGACAATCCCCGCGCACACACTGAAAAGCCACCCTCTTCAATGCCTCTTTCAAAAACTCACAAAAAGACCTCCAAGAAACAATTATGATGCGCTCACAATCAGTGCTTATATGTGCGAATTCTAACCAAGGGGGAGATAATATGCTGAGAAATCGGGTGTGATTGCTTAAGGAAAAGAAAGAGTGTTGATTTTCATCTTATTATCTCTCCCTTCGATTCTAACTATAGCTTCAAGGCTTTAGAAAATGCAGTGAGAAGACTGAGAATAAGCCCTGCTTTTGAGCTCATCATCGTGAAACAAAATTATATCCTTTGGGGGTGAATTTTGCCCCTACATTTTTCTCTTTTCACTTCCACACAGAGTTCATTTCATGTGTTTTTTTTGTCGCAAGTTTTATCAGCGTGAATTAATATATAATATTTTATATCTTTTCTCCTTTAGTCTCAACTAAAACCCATTATTTTTGGTATTTCAAACAATTTTCTTGACCATTTTATTTCTCTTTCTTTTCTTTGTCTGTTTCAAAAACAAAGTCACATTTAAAAAGGAAAAAAAGATTTGTGTTTGTTTGATTTCCTTTTGTATGAATTCACGCAATTCATTTGAATTTTATCTATATCTCTCAATTGATTTTCTTCCTTTTCTATATGTGTTTTTTGTCAGTGATACAAAAAGAATTTTTCTATGCTTCTGATTATCATTTTTATATATACAAATATTTGTTTTTTCTCCATTTTTCATTTTAGCATTGGGAAAAGTCCATTGCTTGCTATAAACAAGGGTTTGCAGAGGTTTGTATTTTTTATCCTTTTCTTTCGTCTCTCGTTATTTAAAAGGCTTTTCTCTTAAATCAAACTTAATTTTGTTGTTGGAAAACTCTCTTTCTCTGTCTGTAATATAAATCAATTCAGTGTCGTTTCTTGTGTTTTTTTATTTCCAAGTCAATTTTCGTCGTGAGTGATTTATTTTTATTATTTTTTCAATGTGTTTACATAAAAAGAGTCATTTTGGCCTTTGAGCAATTTGTCTGTCTCTCTGATTTTGTGCTCTTGATTGGCAATTTTTTCTTCTGTTTTCTTCTTTTTTTTGGATGAAGAAAGAGAAAAGTTTGCTTTATTTGATTTAGCAGAAGAAATTTGTTCATGATAAAAAAAAGCGTGTTGTAGTTTCTGCCGAGAGTGATTTCGATTCTTTTTTCTGCTATTTCTCTCTCTGATTTATCTTTCATTTCTCTCTCTCACTTTGAGCACAAGCAACATATATGCAAATCCCAATCACTCTGACAGAGATTACAGAGAAAATATTCAGTGCCAAGAGAGAAAGTCCTGCCCAAGCGCTGGGGCGTATTCTAAGCGTCTCCTCGGACACTTTCAGATACTCGCCGCTAGCCGGAGACTTGCTGGCCAACACCATTCTTCCTGGCAACGCCATGACGGGCTCCGGCTGGTGCATCTTCGTGTACAATCTGGCGCCGGAGACGGAGGAGAATGTACTGTGGCAGCTCTTCGGGCCCTTCGGTGCCGTCCAGAGTGTCAAAGTGATCCGCGACCTGCAGACAAACAAGTGCAAGGGCTTCGGATTCGTCACGATGACCAACTACGATGAGGCCGTCGTGGCCATCCAGTCCCTCAACGGCTACACGCTCGGCAACCGCGTCCTGCAGGTGAGTTTCTAACTCTCATTTTAACAGCTCTTTCGCGTCGAGTGAGTTAAAAATTGATTGGTAATATCGCTTCAAAGTTTCAATGAATTCACCTTAAGAAATCATTCATTAATATTTCATCTCTATTGAATTTTTTCTAATACGACTTTCAATTCATTTGTCCGCTAATTAGAAAAATGTGTAATGAAAAAGTGCAATTTTGATAGTTAAATTGGTAAATATTAGAGACACTAATGGAGTGATTTCCAGTTAAGTTTAACATGTTTAAGAGAGGAAAACTAGTGAAATTTGCCAGAATTATTAAATTACGAGTTAATAATAAGGAAAGTCCGGAATTAAAAGAATTTATTGCAAACATCATTCATGTTTATGCTTGAAAATTCGAGTCACAATTGCAAACTGATCCATTTATTCTCATTTTTTGAGCGATTAAGAACTACTCAATAAAAGTGAATTTGAAATAGAATTCGTGTAAGAAAAGAAACATTTTACAACACTTGAGTTTGTAGTAATAAAAAGAATTTATCTTGTTTTCTATAGACTTTTATTTGTTCATGGATTTAAGAAACTTCTTAAAATGATTGATTCTATATTGATAGTTTAATTAAAGAACGCAAAAGACTCTCTTAACATCTTCAAATTGATTGTTTTCCGGTGAAATTATTGAACTAAGTCGGGTTTTATTTCTGTTTTGGCTGTTTAACATGAATCTTCACTGGAATTTAATTTTATTTAATTATACTAATCACTTCTCTTTCTTCTCGATTGCATTTCAGGTCAGTTTCAAGACAAACAAAACCAAGACCGCCTAAACTGTGGTTCTGGTAAGTGACACGATGCAGAATTGAATGGATTTTACAAAAGCTATATATATGAAATATACTAGAATCATTTTAATTACTATGACTTACACAGTGTGCGACAAGGGAGATGAATAGAGAGAAACACTGACACACACACTCACACTTTCCAAAAAAAAACTGAAGATAATATAGAGAAGAAAGAAAAACTCGTGAAAAACAAGAGAGAAAAATGTGGACGAAGCTGAAAAAAAATTATAAAGTAAAACGAATGAAACGAAGAGATTTGTGAAGAAAAAAGTGACGCTATAATCCCAATATTGCAATATTTTGATACATTTTTGAATGGAAGATGAAAAGGAAAAAGACAAATATTAATATTTATATATTTAAATGAGACATAAATTATTATATACATATATAACCTAATCAATTTTATTGCACCCTTGGTCATTTTTGTATAATGATGATATATATATATATATATATATATATATATATTGGTGGTAGAAAAAAATTGTGAAGAAGTGAAGGCATTCCATTCCTTTTGCTGATCCTGCGAAAGGAGAATGAAAGAGAGAGAGAGAGAGAAGATCGCGCATGATTTATTGCATTATTTCCATTCCTTGCTATGGATTTATTTCCGAAGATAATTAAAAAGAAAAAGTCGTCTTGACGAAGCAACTCTTTCAACCACCGTGTAAAACTTAGTCGTATAATTCTTTAGCGGTCATTTCTTTCCACATACGCGCGAGCTGAGATAGTTAAGAAGAAAAAATAGCCCACGAAGCAGAGAAATTCACACACAATTATAGGCAAAAAAAGAAAAACAAGAAAGTGAAGAGGAGAAAGAAATGCGGAAAGAGCATGAGAAAAGTGAGGGTGTAAGCAATTTTAGATGTAAGTGTTGAAAGTTCTGTAAATTGAACAAAAACCCAAGTTGTTTATTGTAAAATGATGACCACAATGTTGAAGGGGAAGTTTTTTCTTTTGTAAAATGATACAAAAGACACGCGCGCGCGAGAGAAAAGAAAACTTTCACAATGAAACGAAAGAAAAAAGACACTTTGTAATTCTTTGACACTATTTTTTTTTCTATAAAACGAAAATGAGAAAGATTTAATGGATAAAAAGGAGTGCGAAATGATCATTTTTTTCATATTGTAACTTTTTCTTGCATGTAAGCGCATTTCAACTTCACGAATTGATATTGTGAGAAATCTCAACGAAGAAATACATAGAAGATGAAAAAACATAGCGAAACACGTTCGTCTGTCGTGATGAGCGTGAATTTCTGTTGCAGAGTGTTATTTTGATACAATATTGAAGTCCTCTTTTGAGGACTTTGCAACCAATGATTGTAAATTTACCTTTTAATTCAGAGATTAATGTCCGCGCACAATTTATTTGATGGTAAAAAGGAAAGAAAAAGGATGTGTTGTTAAACAAAGTGAAGCTTGATGTGAATTTTTTTGATTTTTACACACACACACACACAAAATCAACAAAAACAATCCCTCTTCTGACGAAGACGAGAGAAAATCCCACGTCGTTCTTGTGCGCATCCTTTTGCGCCGCAATATGTGTGCGTGTGTCCTTGAAGATCACGCGAAGGCGGCGCGGCAAAAGGTCGGTAGAACGGCAAATAGTGCCAGATTATTGAGAAAATGAGAGAGAGAGAAAAAGAAGGAAAACTCATGCGAAGATGACACGAATGAAGACAAAAATTACTCTAAAAATTGATATTTAATAAACAAATTTCAAACATAGAAATCTCTATTCTGTAATTCTTCACTCAAACTTTATATTTATTATTCATATATTAGATGAAAAGAGGAAGAAAATTTATGTCTTAAGAAATGAATGATCAAGTATAGTCAAATCGTATTATTTAATATTTTATCCAAAAGAAAAAAAAAACGAGAGAGAGAAAAGAAAGCGAAATGCTGGAGAAGTAAAAAAAAGATGATGAATAATAAATGAAAAGAAATTTATAACATAAAAAAATATAGTAAAATTGTTCTTTTATGTCTAAAAAAAAGAGAAGAAAAAAAATGGAAGATAAAAAACCAATGATATTAATTTGTAAACGATCTCTAATTAAATTTATCAATATGCTGTGTGCTTTTAAATGATAAAGACAAGAAAAGTTAAAAAAAAAAACGTGGAAAGATAAGAAGTGAGATTTTGAGAAGAAGAAGAAAAAAATCTTTAATATTTATTCAAAGAAAATTAGTGTGATGTATTTTTTCTGTTGTACTTGTGTTTTTCCTCCCCCCACCCTTTTAACTTTGAATATGTTTGTAATGTTTATTCGATGGATGAGCTGCAAAATAAGAAGTCACGAGACGAGAGTTTTGTCAAAAGGAAAAGAGGAGATTTTTCCCCAAATATAATACTTTATAGGATTTACTTTGCATGGCTTTTTTCACAAAAGCTCTCGTTTCAAGTGAACACAAGAAATTCTTTTCTAGTCAAGGAAAATAGTCACCTTAATTATATATTTATTGGTATTTATTATATTTATGAGAGAAAAACCCAGTTTTATTGTAATCTTTGCGTAGGTAATTTGTCATAAAATATATAATTTATTTGTAGTAACTCGTAATTTTTTTCACACACACACAAGCATAATTTTTAACCCTTTGTTTGGCGTCTGTCATTGAATTTTAGAGAGAGAATGAGGAAAAATAAATAAATTTTTATCCCCCAAAAAAATAACATGACAAGTGAAGCATTTTGAGATTTTTTCGTCAAGTAATTTTCCAAGTATAAAAAACTATTTCACTATAATCTTTTATTTTCTAAATATGATAAATTTATAAAGAAATGAAAAACTTTTCATAAAACTTATGTACTTCTCAAAGAATGTGCAATAAAGAGTAAAAAAAAAGCATCAAACAATCTCTTCCTGACTCTGCAGGGTGTCTTTTGGCTCCATTTCTTCCTCCTTCTGCGCCTCTTTCTGCTCCTCCTTCTTCATTTCCTCCTCCTCAACGGGCTTCCGGAACTTGTTCACCTCGTATTGCGACAAATCCGCGCGCAGGAGTCGCAACATGTGCACCGTTTCGCTCTGGTCGACGTACGCACGCAGACTCGTGGTTCCTCGCCAGCCCACGAGCGTGATCTGCAGTTTCGGCTCACGATATTCCAGCACGCAGCTGCCCGGTGTCACGCCGGCAATTCTCTCCTGGCTCGCCGCCGTCAATTCCTCCAGCTTGGGCGGTTTCGTGGGGTCCGTGTTGTGCAGCAGCGTCACGAGATCACTCCTCTCCAGCCGCACCCTTCGGTCGCTGCCCACGAACTAATTGACATTTTTTTAGGTACTGGCTTAAGAGCGACACAAAGCACAGAGGACTCGGGCCGCCTAGGGCGGCCCTTGATTTTTTAAAAAAGTTTTGGCCTCCGGAACGACACAAGATACAGGGGACTCTGGCCGCCGAAGGCAGCCCCCAATTTTTTTTAGGTCTTGGCCTAAGAGCGACATAAGGCACAGAGGACACTGGCCGCCGAAGGCGGCCCTTGATTTTTTTTAGGTACTGGCCTAAGAGACACACAAGGTACAGAGGACACGGGCCGCCTTCGGCGGCCCGCGAATTTTTTGAGTTATTGGTCTGAGAGCGACACAAGGCACAGAGGACACGGGCCGCCTTCGGCGGCCCGCGATTTTTTTAGGTATTGGTCTGAGAGCGACACAAGGCACAGAGGACTCGGACCGCCGAAGTCGGCCCGCGATTTTTTTTAGGTATTTGTCTCCCAAGCGACACGAGACACAGAGGACTCGGGCCGCCGAAAGCGATTTTTTTGGGCTTGGTCTCAGAGCAACGCAAGGCGAGGAGGACTTCACCGGGCCGCCGAAGGCGGCCCGCGATTTTTTGGGGCTTGGTCTCAGAGCAACGCAAGGTGAGGAGGACTTCACCGGGCCGCCGAAGGCGGCCCGCGATTTTTGGTGCTTGTTCTCAGAGCAAACGCAAGGGCGAGGAGGACTTCATTCACCGGGCCACTCGCCTAAGGCGGCCCGCGATTTTTTTGGGGCTTGGTCTCAGCAACCGCAAGGTTTTGGGGGGGGGGGGGGGGGGGGGGGGAAAAAAAAAAAGGGAAAAAAAAAAGGACTCCCCGGGCCGCGAAGGCGGTGTCCCGCGATTTTGTGGGCTTGGTCCCCAGAGCAACGCCAAGGTGGGGGACTTCACGGGCCGCCGAAGCGCCCGCGATTTTTTGGGGCTTGGTCTCAGAGCAACGCAAGGCGAGGAGGACTTCACCGGGCCGCCGAAGGCGGCCCGCGATTTTTTGGGGCTTGGTCTCAGAGCAACGCAAGGTGAGGAGGACTTCACCGGGCCGCCGAAGGCGGCCCGCGATTTTTTGGGGCTTGGTCTCAGAGCAACGCAAGGTGAGGAGGACTTCACCGGGCCGCCTTCGGCGGCCCGCGATTTTTTGGGGCTTGGTCTCAGAGCAACGCAAGGCGAGGAGGACTTCACCGGGCCGCCGAAGGCGGCCCGCGATTTTTTGGGGCTTGGTCTCAGAGCAACGCAAGGTGAGGAGGACTTCACCGGGCCGCCGAAGGCGGCCCGGCTTTTTGGGGCTTGGTCTCGAGTCACGCAAGGTGTGATGGAGGCTTCACCGGGCCGCCGATAGGCGGCCGCGATTTTTGGGCGGGGCTTGGTCTCAGACAACGCCAGGCGAGGACGGACTTCACCGGTGCCGGCCGCAAGGCGGCGCCGCGATTTTGGGGACTTGTGTCAAAGCAAGGCAAAGCAAGGAGGACTTCACCGGGCCCCGCCGGAGGCGGCCCGCGATTTTTGTTGGGCTTGTTCTCAGAGCAATCGCAAGGTGAGGAAGGACTTCCCGTGCCGCCGGAAGGGGCCCGCGATTTTTTGGGGCTTGGTCTCAGAGCAACGCAAGGCGAGGAGGACTTCACCGGGCCGCCGAAGGCAGCCCGCGATTTTTTGGGGCTTGGTCTCAGAGCAACGTAAGGTGAGGAGGACTTCACCGGGCCGCCGAAGGCGGCCCGCGATTTTTTTTAGGTATTGGCCTAAGAGCGACACAAAGCACAAGGTAGACCCGCATAAATCTATTGAATATTTCCTTGTGTGTACTGTAAAACGCTACTGATTACAAAACTGTTAAAATTAACTCTCAACTCTAAATTAATTTTGTCCAATTAGTTTATACGCTTACGAGTAGGCCAAAGAAAGAGATTTGTAAGTAGTGTGTAAGCAATCGGTTTGTAACGCGTCCGGTAGTGGCGAGTGACAATTCCTACATTACCGACTTATCGACATTGTCGTCCTGCAAACGTCACAGGCATAGGACTTTCAGTGTTATTTTGTTCGCATTTCCTTGCAAAAAATAGCGCCAAATACCTCAAATATCACTCCAAAATGTGCACTAACAAGGAGTACAATGAGGTGAGAAGGTTTTGCGATTGTGGGATTGATGGAAAAATCAATAGTGTACCGATTTTCCGAGAATTCTCCGTCAATAAATCAATCTAATCCCAAATGGGGCATCTTGACTGTGTGGAGTCTCATGTGCCTGTGATTTCTCTTTTAGAGCTACTTCTACGAGTACAACATTCCTCAGCAAAGGATCTATTCGCCGAGAAGAGCAGCATTATCCTGAAATGATGGATCTCATCGCATACGACTTTCCGGGAAGCCGACAAACTGCCAAACTTCTACCGGCGCCACGACAAGGCGGCGGAGCGGATTGCCGGCGCAGGGGGCGATTGAGGAGGTGCTGCAGCACAAGCTGACAGGCTGCAGGAAGTCGCACGAGGGCAAAATCAGACACAAAGCCGGGCGTGCAGCAACTCACGGTGAGTGTTCGTCCGCAGAGACGCAGTGCGCAGGAAGTGAATCACGAGTCTCTCTTTTCACAGGCCGGGAAGGCGTCGGCCGCCGTGAATTGCCTCACGGACACGTCGAAGTGATCTGTAGCTTCGGCTCGCGATACTCCAGCACGCAACTGCCCGGCGTCACGCCGGCGATTCTCTCCTGGCTCGCCGCCGTCAATTCCTCCACCTGGGGCGGCTTCGTGGGGTCCGTGTTGTGCAGTAGCGTCACGAGATCACTCCTCTCCAGCCGCACCCTCCGGTCGCTGCCCACGAACTCATTCACACTGGGCAGACCCCTCCTGGCGCGCCGACAGGCGCACGCACATGTTTTCTTGATTGTCCGCAGCGCACGTGCTAAACACCTTCACGCCCGTGTTGATGATCTTCACGCGATCGCCGCTCAGCTACCCGATGTCACGAATGGACTCGGAGCTGAAGTAGATATTCTTCTTCTTGCCCGTGTGATAGCGCGTGGCATAGCAGACACGTGGGCTGGAAGTCCTCGCGCAGCGTGTAGAAGGACTAGATGGAGGAGAAGATGTCCTCGTCGCCGTGGAAGAAGACAAAGGGCTCCTCTTTGTAGCCGCCCAGGCGGCGCTTCTTGCGCCGGCGGGGGCGCCGCCGGAGGCCTTCTCTCCTCCTCCCAGCGCCCACGGCAATGGCTCTGGTCTTCACCAGCACCGCCCCAAAGAATCCTCCGGCGGCGGACATCTGCGGGCGCAAGATTATGTGATACTGCTCGGGAACTGCCTGGAAATCCGCGTAGAAACTCATGTCCTTCGCCGCCAGCTCCCTCTTCTGCATCCCAAGCGAGAACTTCAGTCCCGGCACGAGACTGGAGGCGTCAATCAAGTCCAGCGCGCCCTCGGACTCCTTCAACAGAAGACGCAAAATCACCGCCACGTTCTCCACGGGATTGAAGGACACGTGGGTACACCGGACGCCCGCCGATCCGTCAGCAGCTCAGCGCTCTCTTGACTATCCTGAACTGCACACCATTGAGCTTTCCGTGTCGTGCGCGTGATTCCACTTTGTCGCAGAATGTCCCGTATTCTTGCGCAGCGTGCGTCGCCACTGGCACGGCACGTCGCAGAGAATCCTGTTGAATTGCATGCTCTCCACTTTGCCCGTCTCCCGGATCATGCACTGCAAGTCCGGGAAGCCCTCGCTGTCCTCGTTCGTGATCAAGCATTTTCACAAAAGAACGAATTTATATGGACTTCCCGACTCGATCTACATTCGAGGGACGAATTTAAATGGACTTTCGGAGTCCATCTAAATTCGACCTTTAGCAATTGCATCTAAATATGACTCTGAGCGAGTCCATTTAAATTCGATCCAATAAATCAATCTAATCCCAAATGGGGCATCTTGACTGTGTGGAGTCTCATGTGCCTGTGATTTCTCTTTTAGAGCTACTTCTACGAGTACAACATTCCTCAGCAAAGGATCTATTCGGCTCGAAGAGCAGCATTATCCTGAAATTATGGATCTCATCGCATACGACTTTCCGGGAAGCCGACAAACTGCCAAACTTCTACCGGCGCCACGACAAGGCGGCGGAGCGGATTGCCGGCGCAGGGGGCGATTGAGGAGGTGCTGCAGCACAAGCTGACAGGCTGCAGGAAGTCGCACGAGGGCAAAATCAGACACACAGCCGGGCGTGCAGCAACTCACGGTGAGTGTTCGTCCGCAGAGACGCAGTGCGCAGGAAGTGAATCACGAGTCTCTCTTTTCACAGGCCGGGAAGGCGTCGGCCGCCGTGAATTGCCTCACGGACACGTCGAAGTGATCTGTAGCTTCGGCTCGCGATACTCCAGCACACAGCTGCCCGGCGTCACGGCGGCAATCCTCTCCTGGCTCGCCGCCGTCAAATCCTCCAACTTGGGCGGTTTCGTCGGGTCCGTGTTCTGCAGCAGCATCACGAGATCACTCCTCTCCAGCAGCACTCTCCTGTCGCTGCCCACAAACTCATTCACGCTGGGCAAGCCTTCCTGAGCAAGCCTGAAGGCGCACGACATGTTCTTGTTGTCGCAGCGCACGAACACCTTCACGCCCGTGTTGATGATCTTCACGCGATCGCCGCTGAGCTGCACAATGTCTCTAATGGACTCAGAGCTGAAGTAGATGTTCTTCTTCTTGCCCGTGTGGCATCGCGTTAGCAGACATGTGGGCTGGAAATCCTCGCGCAGTGTATAGAAGGACTTGATGGAGGCGAAGATGTCCTCGTCGCCGTGGAAGAAGACAAAGGGCTCCTCTTTGTATCCGCCGAGACGGCGCTTTTTGCGCTGCGGCGCCGCCGGAGAGCCTCTCTTTTCCTCCTCCACCGCCCACGGCATGGCTCTAGTCTTTACCAGCACCGCCACGAAGAATCCTCCGGCGGAACATCTGCGGTCGCAGGATTGTGTGATACTGCTCGGGAACTGCCTGGAAATCTGCATAGAAACTCATGTCCTTCGCCGCCAATTCCCACTTTCGCATTCCAGGCGTGAACTTCAGTCCCGGCACGAGATTTGAGGCGTCAATCAGCTCCAGAGCGCCCTCGGACTCCTTCAGCAGACGCACAATCACCGCCTCGTTCTCCACGGGATTGAAGGAGCACGTGGAGTACACCAGACGCCCGCCAATCGTCAGCAACTCAGCGCCTCTCTTGGCTATCCTGAACTGCACCCCATTGAGATTTGTGCCGTGCGCGGGATTCCACTTTGTCCAGATGTCCGGATTCTTGCGCAGCGTGGCGTCGCCACTGCACGGCACGTCGCAGAGAATCCTGTTGAATTGCATGCTCTCCACTTTGCCCGTCTCCCGGATCATGCACTGCAAGTCCGGGAAGCCCTCGCTGTCCTCGTTCGGATCAAGCATGTTTCACAAAGAAACGAATTTATTGGACTTTCCTTCCGCGGTCGCTACATTCGAGGGACGAAATTAGATGGACTTTCGGAGCCACTAATTCGACTTTGAGCAATTGCTATCTAAATATGACTCTGATCGAGTCCATTTAAATTCGATCCAATAAATCAATCTAATCCCAAATGGGCATCTTGACTTAGTGTGGAGTCTCATATGCCTGTGATTTCTCTTTTAGGACTACATCTACGAGTACGACGTACCTCAGCAAAGGATCTATTCGCCGAGAAGAGCAGCAGTATCCTGAAATTATGGATCTCATCGCGCACGACTTTCCGGGAAGCCGACAAACTGCCAAACTTCTACCGGCGCCACGACAAGGCGGCGGAGCGGATTGCCGGCGCAGGGGGCGATTGAGGAGGTGCTGCAGCACAAGCTGACAGGCTGCAGGAAGTCGCACGAGGGCAAAAGCAGACACAAAGCCGGGCGTGGTGGCCGGGCGTGTCCGCAACTCACGGGTGAGTGTTCGGTCCGCAGAGACGCAGTGCTCAGAAGTGAATTCACGAGTCTCTCTTTTCACAGGCCGGGAAGGTGGTCGGCCGCCCGTGATTGCCTCACGACACGTCCGCGAAGTGATCTGTAGGCTTACGGCGCGCGGATACTTCAGCACGCAACTGCCGCGGCGTCACGGGCCGGCGATTCTCTCCTGTCTCGCCGCCGTCAATTCCCTCCACTTGGGCGCTTCGTGGGTCCGTGTTGTGCAGTAGCGTCACGATATCACTCCTCTCCAGCCGCATCCCCTCCGTCCGCTGCCACGAACTCATCACACTGGGCGGAACCCTCCTGGGCGAGCCTGAAGGCGCACGACATGTTCTTGTTGTCGCAGCGCACGAACACCTTCACGCCCGTGTTGATGATCTTCACGCGATCGCCGCTCAGCTACACGATGTCACGAATGGACTCGGAGCTGAAGTAGATATTCTTCTTCTTGCCCGTGTGATAGCGCGTGGCATAGCAGACACGTGGGCTGGAAGTCCTCGCGCAGTGTGTAGAAGGACTTGATGGAGGAGAAGATGTCCTCGTCGCCGTGGAAGAAGACAAAGGGCTCCTCTTTGTAGCCGCCCAGGCGGCGCTTCTTGCGCTGCGGCGCCGCCGGAGAGCCTCTCTTCTCCTCCTCCAGCGCCCACGGCATGGCTCTGGTCTTCACCAGCACCGCCACAAAGAATCCTCCGGCGGGAACATCTGCGGGCGCAAGATTATGTGATACTGCTCGGGAACTGCCTGGAAATCCGCGTAGAAACTCATGTCCTTCGCCGCCAGCTCCCACTTCTGCATCCCAAGCGAGAACTTCAGTCCCGGCACGAGACTGGAGGCGTCAATCAAGTCCAGCGCGCCCTCGGACTCCTTCAACAGACGCAAAATCACCGCCTCGTTCTCCACGGGATTGAAGGAGCACGTGGAGTACACCAGACGCCCGCCGATCGTCAGCAGCTCAGCGCCTCTCTTGGCTATCCTGAACTGCACACCATTGAGATTCGTGTCGTGCGCGGGATTCCACTTTGTCCAGATGTCCGGATTCTTGCGCAGCGTGGCGTCGCCACTGCACGGCACGTCGCAGAGAATCCTGTTGAATTGCATGCTCTCCACTTTGCCCGTCTCCCGGATCATGCACTGCAAGTCCGGGAAGCCCTCGCTGTCCTCGTTCGTGATCAAGCATTTTCACAAAAGAACGAATTTATATGGACTTCCCGAGTCGATCTACATTCGAGTGGACGAATTTAGATGGACTTCGTAGGCCATCTAAATTCGACCTTGAGCAATGCATCTAAATATGACGAGCGAGTCCATTTAATTCGATCACAGTATAAATCAATCTAATCCCAAATGGGGCATCTTGACTGTGTTGGGTTCTCAGGTGCTGTGATTTCTCTTTTAGATCTACTTCTACGAGTACAAAGTCCTCAGCAAAAGGATCTATTCGCCGAGACGACAGCATTAATCCTGAAATTATGGATCTCATCGCATACGACCTTTCGGGAATCCAGACAAAACTGCCAACTTCTAAACCGGCGCCACGCACAAGGCGGCGAGCGGATTGCCGGCCGCAGGGGGCGATTGAGTGAGAGGAGGTGCTGCAGCACACGCTGACAGGCTGCAGGAATAGTTCGCACGAGGGCAAACTTCAGACACCAAAGCCGGTCGTGGCGCAACTCACGTGAGTGTTCGTCGCAGGACGCCGTGCGCAGAATGAAGCCCGATCTCTCTTTTCACAGGCCGGGAAGGCGTCGGCCGCCGTGAATTGCCTCACGGACACGTCGCAGTGATCTGTAGCTTCGGCTCGCGATACTCCAGCACGCAACTGCCCGGCGTCACGCCGGCGATTCTCTCCTGGCTCGCCGCCGTCAATTCCTCCACCTTGGGCGGCTTCGTGGGGTCCGTGTTGTGCAGTAGCGTCACGAGATCACTCCTCTCCAGCCGCACCCTCCGGTCGCTGCCCACGAACTCAGTCACACTGGGCAGACCCTCCTGGGCGAGCCTGAAGGCGCACGACATGTTCTTGTTGTCGCAGCGCACGAACACCTTCACGCCCGTGTTGATGATCTCACGCGATCGCCCTCAGCTACACAATGTCACGAATGGACTCGGAGCTGAAGTAGATATTCTTCTTCTGGCCCGTGTGATAGCGCGTGGCATAGCAGACACGTGGGCTGGAAGTCCTCGCGCAGCGTGTAGAAGGACTTGATGGAGGAGAAGATGTCCTCGTCGCTGTTGGAAGATAGACCAAAGGGCTCCCTCTTTGTGAGCCAGCCTGCCAGGCGGCGCTTCTTCTCTGCGGCTCCGCCGGGAGCCTCTCTTCTCCTCCTCCAGCGCCCACGGCATGGCTCTGGTCTTCACCAGCACCGCCACAAAGAATCCTCCGGCGGGAACATCTGCGGGCGAAAGATTATGTGATACTGCTCGGGAACTGCCTGGAAATCCGCGTAGAAACTCATGTCCTTTCCTTCGCCGCCAGCTCCCACTTCTTGCATCCCAACGCGACGAACTGTCAGTCCCGCACGAGACTGGAGCGTCAATTCAATTCCCGCGCCCTCGGACTCCTTCACCAGACGCAAAATCACCGCTCGTTCTCCACGGGATTGAAAGGCACGTGGAGTACAAACCAGACCCCGCCGATCGTCCAGACAGCTAACGCCTCTCTTGGCTATCCTGAACTGCACAACATTGAGATTCGTGTCGTTGCGCGGATTCCCCAATTTGTCCAGATTGGTCCGGATTCTTGCGCAGCGGTGCGATCGCCACTGCGCACGGCACGTCCGCAGATAATCTGTTGACTTGCTGCTCTCACTTTGCCCGTCTCCGTCCCGGATCATGCACTGCAAGTCCGGGAAGCCCTCGCTGTCCTCGTTCGTGATCAAGCATTTTCAAAAAAGAACGAATTTATATGGACTTCCCGAGTCGATCTACATTCGAGGGACGAATTTAGATGGACTTTCGGAGTCCATCTAAATTCGACCTTGAGCAATTGCATCTAAATATGACTCTGAGCGAGTCCATTTAAATTCGATCCAATAAATCAATCTAATCCCAAATGGGGCATCTTGACTGTGTGGAGTCTCATGTGCCTGTGATTTCTCTTTTAGAGCTACTTCTACGAGTACAACATTCCTCAGCAAAGGATCTATTCGCCGAGAAGAGCAGCATTATCCTGAAATTATGGATCTCATCGCATACGACTTTCCGGGAAGCCGACAAACTGCCAAACTTCTACCGGCGCCACGACAAGGCGGCGGAGCGGAT